GTGTTGTCGTAATTATTCGTACTCATGTGTCCTTACGAATTTGTTAATAAACTGCGGAGGATGATTGTTAACTATTAGCGCTTCTTTTATGTGTTTCAACTTGTTATGTAGATGATGGTTGCACTGACACTAGTCAGTTTTCTAGGTGTATCACTTTGACATTTGATTAGAGCAGTTGCCTTAACTGACATTGGATGGGATGACTTGAAGTCTAGATACCTACTTGTTGGAATGTGTTGGTTTCCGGGAAAAGATGGTAGTATGGAAACCAGCATTTGTCCTTCGTTTCACTATGCAATCCAATATGAATAATTATCCTTCTTCATTTTCGGTCTCATAAGTGAATTGGATTAGGCCTACTACTGAGTTTATATATGTGTGGGTAAAGTGTGGATATGTTCCGATTTCAACACAGTGAGGGGAATGTGTTATCCACATATGGCCACCATATCTTAAGTGTAGGATTATACGTTTGTGAAGCCATTTCTTCCCAACTATCCATAAATGCATTTGCTACGAATGGTGATTCCATTGCTACTGCTTCTGTTTGTCTGTATATTTTGTTCTGAAAGTTGAAAAGTGTTGAGGTCAGGCACAACTGTATGCCTCATATGATCTCATCAACTGATATGTTAGTTGTGTGATTAATTTCTGAGTCAATATTTAGTTGACTTCTGACTACCTCCAGTGTCATATTGATTGGTATTTTAGTATGAAAACTAGTTACATCGAAACCAACCATTTTTTTTCATCCTTTTGTATATGGAGGTCTAGAATTTGAACGGTTCCTAATTACGATGCTATGAAGTTTGACAGTTCTGAAAACAACAATACGTCTCATGGGATAACGTGGCTTATGAACCCTAATAAGTACCATAAATTCTGCTAGGATTATTAGTTTTAGGCATTAAATTGAACCATTTAGACTCACCTGGAGATGACTTCTGTTAGTATATATCACCGTCTGTACATTTCGAAATTTTATTCATGTCCATGTCTAAAGGTTTCTTAATCTCGTCCAGTTTGGATAAGTTCGTCAATTTTGTTGAAATAATCCAATTTGTCCATGACTACTGTTGAATTGACTCTATCAGATTTAGCAAATTATGTGCGGATAAAATTGCAATGCCACGCTACGGATCACCATAGAACAGAGTATAGAATGGCAGTTAACTCTCTACCTCAACTTCATCGACTTTGAAAAGGCCTTCGACAGCGTCAACCGAGAAGTAATTTGGCAGGCAGCTGCTTCAACACATCGGAGTGCCACAGTTCTTTATCAACCCCATTCAACAGCTATATGACGATGCCTCATGCTATGTGATCTACAATAGAACGCTCAGTGACGTCTTTGAAGTGAAGACAGGAGTAAGACAAGGCTGCCTACTATCATCCATGATCTTCCTGACTGTGGTCGACTGGATCATGCAGCAAACCGTAAGGGGTAAGAGGAGGGGCATGCGCTGGACTAATGAAAAGATCCTAGAAGATTTCGATTTCGCCGATGATTTATGTCTTACATCTTGTGACACAAACTCGAGGACCTACAGGCGAAAACTAACAAGTTGAGAGAAGAGGCAGCGATAGAAGACGGGACTTCAGGTGAATGTAGAGATGACAGAGGTAGAGGTGATGAAGATACCCAACTAGCAACAGCATCAACAACAAGCACCAGTCACCATCAACAGGAGAAATTTAAAGGAAGTAGTCTCTTTCACCTACCTAGGAAAAGCAGCATCGTTTCAACTACAGGCGGTGGCACACATGAGGATGTTAAACCTAGAATCGGAAAAGAAAGACAAGCTTTCACTAATGTGAAATCAGTGTGGAGATCTACTGCACTCAGCACAAAGCGTGAACAACATCCGCATTTTCAACACCGACATCAGTCAAGTCAGTGCTGCTATGTTGTTCAGAAACTTGGCGTGTCACGAAAAGCATTTCCAACAAACTACAGATATTCATCAACAACTGCCTACGCTGGCTCGTTACTGACACTGAAGATCAGATGGCCAGAATAATAAGAATAAGCAACAAGGAACTCAGTGTGGCTGGCTGGGAATGAACCAGCCAAGAACCTATCGCTCAACAAATATGCACAAGGAAGTGGAGATGGATTAGGCATACACTGAGAAGGCCGACTGGGGACACCTCGCGCCAGGCCAGGTACTCGAGTGGAACCCAGATGGGAGACGATGAGTTGGCCGTTGGAGGCGAGGGTGACATGAAGGAGATCGTGGCGCCAGGTCTAAAAGACTGCAGATAGGAGAGTGTAATGGAGGCGTGCTACTGAGGCCCTATGTTCCACTAAGAACCCAAAGGAAAAATAGTAATAATCAGTGTTATTGTCACTGCATGCATTATTTAGAGCAGAATTTTCATTGCACGCTGTCCACTAATCGTTTCAGCGGTTGATGTATTCACCGAGTCTAATGCTTACTTATATGCTAGGTATGACATCTTCGAGATTTAGATGGCCCTATGTGATTGGTTTATGCATTAGGTTATTCGCATTTAAGATTCACTAGAGCTGGTGCTTCACAATAACACACGAGGAACGGGTAACTCCGACGTTCACTTTTAGCAATAGCTGAAGTGACCAGTTAGGTTTTGATATTTTGTCTAGCCAGGTAGTTTCGTTATCGGATCTAGGAGCCTGATAGGTTGCCTCAGCATTTACTAGGGTAGCCATCAGTAGATATTAGTTGGTTAAAGGTAATCGGCAGAAAGCTCTAGATCTAGGTATTATGCTTGTTTACATTCGTCAGCTGGGCTTACCTGCAATCTCGACGGAACTGGTGTCCTGCGTGAGGTTCGAAACCGCGTCACTCAGGGCTGTAGTCACCGACTCTAACACTGAGCTGTTCGAGCCGCGGTTCATCTCATGTAGGACTGCGGTACATAAATTGATTGGTCACACGAGTGCAACCAAATTCACTTTGTCTAGTCGTGGGTACAGGCCGAATCCTATCGATCGTTTACAATGTGGCCACGAAGCTAGAAGGTTCAGCATTGCGATGCTAACGTGTCGTCAGGTTAAACTTGTGTGATGTACTTCCTTGCCAATCCAATCGATGAAAGCAAAAAGCCTCATCAACTAACCAATCCACTTTACTTGGCTCTCCGAAAATAAATTATGATTCTACCACACGTATGTATTGCTACGAAAACAAAATATTTCCTTAAATAGGCGTTTGAGTATCGGACCGATGCAACTAATGATGTAGTTTGCAGAGGAGTCTGTTACATCCACGTCAATATTTTGTTGGCTAGATAACCATCAGAGTTGAAGTGAATTCCTACGTGAATGAATCGGTTACCACCTTCAATCATGCGGATTTCCATTGTCAGAGGGGAAGTCGATGCTTATATGTTGTGAATTTAATATTTGCATTTATTGTACAAAAAATAAGTTCCAAATCATCTTCGAGTTAAAACCTTTCAGTATTTTACTAGGATCTTCACCTGACATTACTGTTTTGTATTTCTACCCTGAGTGGGACAAGGTATCATCACCGAAGAGTTTAGTCTGTGCGATTTGGAAAGAATAGAGTGAAACTTCCGGAAGCAATTTTACGGAACTTCTGAGCATCAGTAGATGGAAATACCTCACCTTAAGCTATAGTTTGGTACTGAGTGTCTCAGTAATTGGCTTTCAGTAAGGTATTATATATATATATATATATATATATATATATATATATATATATATACTCTGAAACCATGCACTCTACTGGTCAACTACGTTTAAATCTTCATGCTAATTGGATAACAGAAAGGTTTCCTAGATCCAGAAAGCTTCCCTACTAGTGTATGCTATATCTCAGAGCTGACCCCCCTTAGAAGCAAGGTCTGTAACGAGCTCCAATTTCTAAAGACCCATCAGGTACCCAGGTACATACAACCTACCCTGGACTCTGTTCAGGATGGAGGGAAGATTGCAGTCAGAGGATGGACTACATTGTTTGAGAAAGTAAGACAGATGAGAGTGTCCCATCAATATTGTTATACTCTTCTCTAAAAAAGGCCTATGTATAACACATATGATAATCATCTGGATATCAGTCTGCCAATAGTAGCATCTAAAGTGTTGGTTGCTATCACGTTTCACAGATTATTCGAAACCAGGTGTGCTCAACGAACATAGTCATGCTAGCAGAGGCCAGTTGTTTAGGCTCACAGAGGGATTGCTTAAGTGGCTAATCCGGGTTACTCAGCGTTTACTAACCGACAGATAGATACTGCACTCTCATACTAGTATTCATTCGTGTATGGTACTTCATATACCTTGGATGAATAAATAATCTTGGATTGACATTAGTTGGAAGAACATTGGAAACCTGGGACCATTTCACAGCTGTTTTGTCCCATCAGCATGAGACTCTTCAACAGTTCGCACCCATCACCCCACCCTACACGGACCTTCAGGTTTCGTAGCCACTGAGTTGGAGTCCAGTGGTCCACATTTTATCAGTTCACGAAATTTTTCCCACAGCCACAAACACTCAACGATGACATTGGATGACGGTTGGGCTATGTCATGAACTGACAAAACTTGAAAATACGGACTATTGAAAATTCCAACCAATCAAGTTTATAGTAACATTACTGATCACGATCCTTCGCGGGGTCATGAATGCGTCCTGCTGAGAAATCCTATACTAAGAAAAAACAGCTATTCAATGCTTCCAGGTTCTCAATGTTCATGATGAATACTAAACTTGAAAAATCACTAAATCTCCACAAATCAAATAAACAATCTGTCAAATGAACTGAAAAATGAATAAATATATCTTTAATTTTCATGATATAGACTTATTAAGAAAATTGAAATGACATAGGAACGGAACAATAGTATTAAGAAATACTTCTTCATACATAAACATCAACAAAAAAGTGAAGCAGAAGAAGAAGGAAGAAAAACTGTACAAAAGTTAATTATCATATGTTTAGTTTATTTACTGGATAATTATTACTGATTACAAGTTATGATGTAAAGTTTAATCATGAGGTTTAGAAGTCAACAATAAATCAACTTCTTCTAATGGTGTTCTTAGTCGTAATTCACGTTCACGTTCAACTACTTCTTCAACATCCTCTGGACAATAACGTACTAGATCTGTATAAAGAACCTGAGAAGGAAAAAAAGAAATATACAATTACGTATAATTAGTCTTCGCATAAACTCGAAGATCTACAGGCAAAAACTAACAAGTTGACAGAAGAGGTAGGGCAGCGAAGATGGGACTTCAAGTGAATGTAGAGAAGATGGAGGTTGTGATGATACCCAACCAACACCACCACCAACAAGCTCCAATCACCATCAACGGGAGAAACTTAAAGGAAGTAGCCTCTTTCACCTATCTAGGCAGCACTGTTTCAACTATAGGCGGCACAGACGAAGACGTCAAAGCCAGGATCGGAAAGACAGGCGTTCATTAACCTGAAATCAGTGTGGAGTTCTACTGCACTCAGGAACAAGATCTGGATTTCCAACAGTAATCTCAGTCAAGACAGTGCTTCTATGTGACGGTCCAGAGACTTGGCGGAGCGTTGCGAAAAGCATTTCCAACAAACTACAGATATTCATCAACAACTGCCTACGCTCACTCAATACTGAAGATCACATGGCCAAAAAGAATAAGCAACAAGAAACTCAGTGTGGCTGGCTGGGAATGAACCAACCAAGAACCTATCACCCAACAAATATTCAGAAGGAAGTGGAGATGGATTGAGCATGCACTGAGAAGACCATTCAGGGACATCATGCGCCAGGCCAGTTCCTCGAGTGGAACCCAGATAAGAAATGGCAAGTTGGGCGTCCGAGGCGATGGTGACATGGAGATCGTGTGAGGAAGGAATGAGAGTTTGTGGGCAGTCGTGGAGCCAGGTCCAAAAGATTAAGTAGATGTCTGTATTTAGAAATTAGGTGATAAGATTACAGAATGACTATCAGACAAACACATATGTACTCAATACTTAAGAGTGAATGAGATAATGACAGAATCGATCGGGTTTAGTGGGATCACCGTGTGAACAATGTTAAAGACAGGCAAAGGGTGATAAACAAGACAGGCTGACAAGTCGATTGACAAAGTTGTGAAACTAAGTCGACTAAGATGGCTTGGATATGAGCTACTTTCTACCTTGACGTACCATGCTGGGGGAACTTGGATTAGGTTGAAAGAGGGTTCAGCAAGACCAGATCAAGATGTGTCATCAGTTGATGACTTTTAGTGTGAGTCGTATTAGAAAGATACAAACTACCTAGCTGGGGTTGGCCAAGACGATAGAGAACTGAGAACTCCTGGTGACATGGCTAAAAATCGGTCATTCTTTAACACCTTCTAAAGCTTGAGTATTTGCACTAACCATTATGCTGGTGGAATTCTTGTTCCCTTAGGGTTTTTCCCATACCATGAAGGTCTGCTGGATAGTGGTAATACAAAAAGCAGTTACCGTCACAGTGTTAATTACTACGCTAAGATGAGAGTCTGAGAATGAAGTCATATTGCTGGTTGGACAGAGTTCTGACAGCGGTCAGGTGTTTCCAGTCAATGACCAGCACTACTATGCTGAGATACTGCCTTCCTTATAGCACACACTCTCCTACATCATAGCATTCCGGAGCCAGGGATATGCGTTCACACTCCTATTCGAAACGATGGAGCTTAGATATAAAACGTTTAAAGACAGCATACGTCACTGGCCTCACAACCCTGTCATTACTCAAGTCCTCTCAGATCCCATCTTAGTACCCTTTACTGGACCTCAATACTGCTCACAGTTTAACTAACCAGCTTGTATCAGTACACTGAGTAAAAAGATAGTGAAGTAGAAGATGAAGAAAATTCAGTCAAAAGAAATATGAAGTACAAGAAGACAGAAAAAAGGAATGAGAAAATGGTGAGATTCGGTATAGCGTCGTTAAGATGAGGATAATGTATGTGGGCATACATCCTCGCCACTGACATCGGTTTTCAGCCACGTCATCACCTAGAATCTCGAACCACTGGTTCTCCTATCCAAAAGACTCTAACCGCCTACTCTGCATTCCCACATAACTCAGTCCAACAGTCAAACACTTCATACATTGGTGTAATGTTTTATTCTGACCGCCTCCCTCACCTTTTTCCAGCCTGGACCTACTTCCCCCAACATTGTGTGATGAGGCAGACGGCAACTACGCATACGCAACACATGTCCCAGCCAATCATCTCAGTCGATGAAGGTTCACAACCTCATCAACTGACTTACCTCTTCTCCCTAAAACTTTACACCTGACTTCTGCGTTACTCACGTGGTGACATCATGGAATACGGCCTGTATTACGAAGGCAAGCCTTCTCATGTCTTCCACCTTCAATGGCCATGTTTCACAGCCATACAGTAGAACAGAACGGACTCTTGGCGTTACCTATACCTATATTGCATTTGCTTGTTGCGAATCAAGGCAATATGGCCTAGGTAACCTAGTTTCTGCGAACAATACTCTAGTTGATACCTTCCATATGGTCTTGTACAGCTTAAGTTTAGGCAAGCCGACTCATGAGATTGTGAACCTTAGTCAACTGAGATGGCTTGGCGCATGCCAAACCACAGTCTACCTCGACGTCCCATGCTGAGGGAAGTTCCATTAGGTTTGAAGAGGAATCATAGTGACGAGACCAAAGTGTGGCACCAGCCGATGAAATCTGTAACTGTTGGTTTGAGCCATTTGGGTACAATGTAGACTGCCTCGTTGAGGCCTTTGAGACAAAAGGATTCTGTCTGTCTGACTACGTTTAGCTGAAACGAGCCAATTACGTTTATAAAGAATAAGTAAATTGAGCAAGCAAGATAAAGCAGACAAAAAAGGCGTACTTCGTCACTGAATGATTCCTTTTATTCTTCTTATCGTTGGGAGAACAAACGTGAAAGTGTGAGAAGTAAAAATTGTATCACTTACTTTGGCCCATGGAACATCTTCAATAGCACGATAAAACACAGCCTTCACAGCTTGACGACGTTGACGAGGATCTAAATTATTTGTAATGACTGAAGCAGCAACGGAAGAAGATGGATTTGATATGTGTGGTGGACCAGCCATCCAACCGAATGCCATATAAGCTCTCCATATAACTAATCGTAAATGTGCAGACCAAAATGATGGTGTACTAGCAGCTAAAGCCACATGAATTAAACCTCCTTCAGGAGATAGAATAGGCGTAATAAATGGACTAGTTTGCACAGCTTTCTCAAATGCATTACGTACTCGTTGGTCACTAATCGATGTTCTTTCTACGCTCGAAAAAGAAATACAAATATATATATCATAGGAAGAATAGAATGAAAATTATTCATAAGCATAACAATGTCATGTTAAGGGAATCTCATGAAAACTGATGAAGACTACTCAGAGTTAAAACTGCCTTTTCACTAGTATTATTTTCAAGTTGTACATGGTTGTGCATAAATTATATACTTCCTTGCTAACAAAAAAAGGCATACTCCATGAATTTTTAGTTTCCATCAATGTTTGCAGTCATTTGAAAGACTATAACTCTACATCAGAATGATAGTAAGCAGGTGAAATCAAAATCAGCATTTAAAGTCATCAACCGTCAAGGTCGAAAATTTGAATTACAACCTTGATTCCATGTTACTGTGTAGGTGGAAAAACCTTGTTGAGCAGTCTTGACCTTGAGCTGACAAATGAAAATAACCATCCAATTTGTGACCTAATGGTTTCATTTTACGAGGGAAAACTGTGTATAAATAATATGCTTTCTGTCAAATAAAGTTGCTTTCCCTACAATCACCAGTCAGTCTTTGTTTTCGCGGTTTAGTGAAGTAGTAGGTCCGAGACAGAAAAGTCACTACTCATTTCCAATTCAATTATGCATTGCTTTATTATCCATTTCGCCTATTTATGGTTATCCACTGCAGTCACATAAGAGTTTTTTTATCGAGTAACATAAGGTTGAATAGTGTTAGAGTTCAATTAAATGAATGTGATTGAAAATTAGAAAACTGAATGGTAATGTCGAGAGGAATACGATTTAAATAAAAATATCGTAAGATGATAGAAAAACTTTCGAGGTTCAGGTTTGTACATACTCGAACAGTCTTAGCAACAAATTTCCTGATTATGTACTATACAATAGGCTACATCAATTATGTTGTAAGGGCTGTTCAAACTTCACAAAGTGGAGTGGGGTTCGTACCTGGTTGGAAGTCAACTGCCTTAATCAACAAGCCACAGATCCACTCTACTTCCAATAGAGGTCAAGTTATTCGAATAACATTGTTAGGAGAAGGTAGAGTTTAGGCTGTGAAATGTGTTACTATACCTCTGGTACTTTTAAAATGTCTCAAGCTTGAGAATAACACCAGAGAAGTTTCGAGGATAACCAATCAGGTTGTAGATGACTTATTTATGGTATCCGTTACGTCCATTTACCGTGTCGTTGACGCTGAAGAAACCTCTGATGGATTATGACGACGATTACGTTGTAGGTTGTGTTAGAAGTTTGATATAGTTGCTATTGTGGTTGAAACAAATGAATAATGAAAGAACATTTTCGATGGATAAAGGATAGTCCAACAAACTTTATCCTAGCAGTAATGCATAAATGTTTGGAAGTCATCTGAAATAGGCTACCCCAATACAGCTATTGTTTACAAGAAAAACTCCTCGTTGACCGACCGACAGCTGCCACCTTGAAGTGGTGGTCGGGCTTGCATATCACAATGACGAAACAAGTTATGTTGGTGGAACGCTTTTTCCCTCGAAGTCCCACTCCATTCGTTAATGATTATATTGTATTTCGTATTCTTGATTCTGATTGGCCAGTGCACATTTGAATGTGACTGGCCGTAATACAGCTGACTTTCCAATCGAAAAGGATGATTGGTCTTCAGAAAACAAAAACAAAAAAGCAGCCCCATGTTTTAGTTTACACTTCTTTTGTATGGGCGTCAATGATGATGATAAAAACTAAGTGAAAAAAAAGTTCAACAAGTAAACTAAATAACTACCTTGACCATATTCACAAGATACACCAGCAATTAAACTTGTCCATCGTTCCAATTCTAAGCTCAACTGAAATAAATCCAAAACACTTGGTAGACAGACAGAGGATAATTCTAATTGATAACCAATACAACTGTTCACTTCTTCACCAATTATACTATCAGATAAATTTGTAGTTAGTTGTTGTCGTGTATTTGTACGTGTTACATTGTTCAATGTTTGTTCAATAATTGACTGAGCAGCTAATTTCGCTACATTTTGTCTTAAATAGTTCAATTTATGTATTAAAGAAGCCAAGAATAACGGTGGAAGTAAACCATGACAAGAGGATGCATTCACTAAGGATAATGGTAATTTCCTATTGAAAATAATAATAATAATAATAATAATAATAAACACATTACAGTTGGTATGAACAGAATGAATCTTATAAATTGAACAGCTTGAAGGGTTAAAGATCGCATAATAAACCCATTATTATGTTTTTACTTGTATTATGTCGTCATCGAGTGAATCAAATTGATCAGTCTATATCGGTATACGGCTACTACTCTACTGTGCAGATGCCTAAATATTACCTGTATTAGTCATGGATGGTGGTTAGCAGGAGAATCCTATTTAGGATGAAGTCAACTGGCTATAACTGACTCCTAGTGAGAGATGTTGTTCCTCTTAAAACTCGATCCCGGAACCAATTGCTTCAAATGCCAAGTCACGACAGCCATCTCTTGTGCAACAGTTATAGTTTTTATATTGTTTAAAGCAACAAAAAGCCTAGTGGAATAGAAATCTACCCAGCAACCTTGTGCACATTCTTGAAGTAGTCAGTAATAAACTAATGATACTACCTGGTTGCTCAAACCTTCCTAAATGGGTTAAGATTCAAATTCCTGACCAACTGGTTGGAAATCACGTTCCTAGACTATTGAGCTCTAACAGTATGAAAGTGATCGATTCTCAGATTATTGCCTCACGACGTTATTAAGCTGCATAAATGGAACAAACTAACTTTTAAATCCTCCTTACAAGCTAATTCATATGCCTAAAAGGGGAATAGTTTATCCGAAATGTCTTCCAGTGTGTCACCAGTGATTAACCTCAACCCTTTTCATAACAAAACCTACTAACTGTGTTATGCAGTAGGTAAACTTTACTCTAACCCTACTCAAAATATCCAACAAGATGGAGTTTGTACATCCATTGCAAAAGTATCTTGAAATAGATCAGTCTTACAAACAACTCAGCTATATATATATAGAGGCTCACTGGCTTAGGGAGATGATTTTCAACCTATGGACCTCAGGTTTCAACCCCGACCCACCTACAGAGGTTTCGGCAACCAGAGAGTATTTATTAGCCTCTTACATTCTAGATACGGCTTTTTGACTAATGCATGAATGTACACAAGGTTGCTGAGTGTATTTCTTCTTTCTGCATATATATTGAGGTGGTTTATGAGGTGTGTGTAAAGTACAAAAATCTCATAACTCAGTGACAAATAACTTTCAGTTTCAGAAGAACGCAATGCTTTAAATGTACAGAAGAATGAAGCAGAAATAAGTTAATTCAAGATGTACGCAGTGAACTATTAAATTACTTAGATAATAATTGAAAAGTTGTGTTCATTGGTTGTGTAAATGGGCATCTCTTAGTCAGGCACCGAGCCAGCTTAAACCAAGAGTCAGGGACTTCATCGGTTGTTACGAGGCCTTGGGTTTCAACATCCTAAACCATCTTCCTACCTAATCCAACTTTCCTTAACATGACACTTCAAGATAGATAGTGGATCGGCATGCACAGTACACATCCAAGTCATCTCATTCGGCTAAGGTTGACTTGCTTGTCTTGCATATATAGCAGATAATTAATTGCTACGCCTTTAAAGTGAAGACAGGAGTAAGACAAGACTGCTTACTATCATACATGATCTTCCTGATTCTCGTCGATTGGACTGGATCATGTAACAAAGTGTGAGTTGCGAGAAGATGGACATACATTGGCTGGGCCGATGAAAAAACCAGAGAAAATTTGGATTTCGCTACCAATGATGATTAATGCCTAATGTCTTGTCGCATAAGCGCGAAGATCTACAGGCGAAAACCAACAAACTGACACGAGAGGCAGCGAAGATGGGACTTCAAGTGAATGTAGAGAAGACAGAGGTGATGAAGATACACAAGCAACAACAACAAAATAAGCAACAATCACCATCAACGTGAGAAATATAGAGAAAGTTGTCGCTTTCACCTATCACCTACGCAGCATCCTCTCAACTACAGGCAGCGGCACAGATGAGAACGTTAAAGCCATGATCGGAAAGACAGCAACACAAGTCTTCTTCCATTAATCTGAAATCAGTGTGCAGATCTACTCCACTCCACTCCACTCCACTCAGCATAAAGCGTGAACAACATCCGCATTTTCAATACTAAGTCAGTCAAGTCAGTGTTTCTATATGGTTCACAGACTTCGCGCCTTACCAAAAGCATATTCATCAAACCGCAGACATACATCATCAACAGCTGCCGCCTACGCTCACTCAATACTGAACATCAGATGGCCAGAACCATAAGAATAAGCAACAAGGCATTCTGGCCTGGCTTGCAACCAACCAACCAACCAAGAACCTACTGCCCAACAAATATGCAGAAGAAGACAGTGGAGATGGATTGGATTGGATTGGATTGGACATACACTGAGAAGACCGTTTGGGGACATCACGCACCAGGCCAGGCCCTCGAGTGGAACCCAAAAGGGAAATGACCAATTGGAAGTCTGAACCGAGGGTCACATGAAGATGGTTTGAGGAAGAAATGAAAGCTTATAAGGAGTCATGGAGAAGAGTGTGCAATGAAGACGTGCTACTGAAGCCCTATGTTCCACTAGGAACCCAAGTGACAAATAATAATAATGAATGATGAATACTCGTTAGCAGTGAAATTCATCATGTGCGTCTCATCCCACTTGGCGTTCATCAGCTGAACCTACTTGCTTCCCACTGTGTGATTTTGTCCCCACCCCACCCCATCCTAACTGGAACATATCAGATAGATTATTAAGTAGGAAATGAACAAGAAGAACTAGGTTACCTTTGATCTAATGAAATTCTTGATGGAAGAAGATAACTGATTGAGATGGAAACATTAAATCCATGAGTATATCATTAGAATTCCATTTATTATGATTAGTTATCAATTGAAATAAATGATTTAAAAGTGGTCGCCGATTTCTTTGACGTAATGCACAAAATGCAGATAATCCACCAACAACAAGATTAATAAATTTACTTGTACATATTCGATTGTTTAATGGTATTGGAATTAAATCATAATCAGTAGATAGATTATTAGTTGACCAACGACTATCTATCTTTGAACCAAATGAATAAGATTCATCCAATATTGTTGATAAAAATTTACAACATAATCGATCAATTCGTCCAAGTACTGGAAGTAAACTGGCAACAGATGACTCTAAAACCTATAAAAATACAAAAATAAATTTCTAAATTCAATCAACAATTAAAGATAGTAAAATACACTTTATGAAATAACAAGGCAGCGAAACATCAGAAATTAACAGCTAAGTAATAAAACATTTTCAATGGGTTCCCCCCCTAGTTACATACTCGTATAATATCCTGTCTACATTTTTCTGTTAACTTATTCATTTCTATCAGTATTCTATATAATAATAATTATTATTATTTATCCTTTGGGTTCCTAATGGAATATAAGACTTCAGTAGCAAGTCTCCATTCCACTCTGTTCTCTGAAATCTTTTAAACCTAACTTCACGACTGCCAACAAGCTCTCATTTCTTCCTCACACGATCTTCTGAATGTCAGCCACGGACGCCAAACTCACCGTTTCCCATCTGGATGGTTAGCCCTATACCCAACCTTTCCTCTTTACCCGGGCTAAGGACCATCTAGTTACTAGTGAACTAGTTAACCAGGCGAAGTTCTATATAAATAAAGCATAATGAAACTATGATGACTAGACGACGAAATTCACACTAAAATTCATTACGCCTCACAACAATTTCGGCTTGTTAAACTTGTTAAACACATAGAAGAGGGTGGAAAAAAGAGGTTAGTTTCGATGTAACTAGTCTTCATACTATAATACTAATCAATATGACACTGGAGGTAGTATATATATATATATATATATATATATATATATATATATATATATATATATATAATACCTTATTGAAAGCCAATTACTGAGACACTCAGTACCAAACTATAGCTTAAGGTGAGGTATTTCCATCTACTGATGCTCAGAAGTTCCGTAAAATTGCTTCCGGAAGTTTCACTCTATTCTTTCCAAATCACACAGACTAAACTCTTCGGTGATGATACCTTGTCCCACTCAGGGTAGAAATACAAAACAGTAATGTCAGGTGAAGATCCTAGTAAAATACTGAAAGGTTTTAACTCGAAGATGATTTGGAACTTATTTTTTGTACAATAAATGCAAATATTAAATTCACAACATATAAGCATCGACTTCCCCTCTGACAATGGAAATCCGCATGATTGAAGGTGGTAACCGATTCATTCACGTAGGAATTCACTTCAACTCTGATGGTTATCTAGCCAACAAAATATTGACGTGGATGTAACAGACTCCTCTGCAAACTACATCATTAGTTGCATCGGTCCGATACTCAAACGCCTATTTAAGGAAATATTTTGTTTTCGTAGCAATACATACGTGTGGTAGAATCATAATTTATTTTCGGAGAGCCAAGTAAAGTGGATTGGTTAGTTGATGAGGCTTTTTGCTTTCATCGATTGGATTGGCAAGGAAGTACATCACACAAGTTTAACCTGACGACACGTTAGCATCGCAATGCTGAACCTTCTAGCTTCGTGGCCACATTGTAAACGATCGATAGGATTCGGCCTGTACCCACGACTAGACAAAATGAATTTGGTTGCACTCATGTGACCAATCAATTTATGTACCGCAGTCCTACATGAGATGAACCGCGGCTCGAACAGCTCAGTGTTAGAGTCGGTGACTACAGCCCTAAGTGAAGCGGTTTCGAACCTCACGCAGGACATCAGTTCCGTCGAGATTGCAGGTACGCCCAGCTGACGAATGTAAACAAGCATAATACCTAGATCTAGAGCTTTCTGCCGATTACCTTTAACCAACTAATATCTACTGATGGCTACCCTAGTAAATGCTGAGGCAACCTATCAGGCTCCTAGATCCGATAACGAAACTACCTGGCTAGACAAAATATCAAAACCTAACTGGTCACTTCAGCTATTGCTAAAAGTGAACGTCGGAGTTACCCGTTCCTCGTGTGTTATTGTGAAGCACCAGCTCTAGTGAATCTTAAATGCGAATAACCTAATGCATAAACCAATCACATAGGGCCATCTAAATCTCGAAGATGTCATACCTAACATATAAGTAAGCATTAGACTCGGTGAATACATCAACCGCTGAAACGATTAGTGGACAGCGTGCAATGAAAATTCTGCTCTAAATAATGCATGCAGTGACAATAACATTGATTATTACTATTTTTCCTTTGGGTTCTTAGTGGAACATAGGGCCTCAGTAGCACGCCTCCATTACACTCTCCTATCTGCAGTCTTTTAGACCTGGCGCCACGATCTCCTTCATGTCACCCTCGCCTCCAACGGCCAACTCATCGTCTCCCATCTGGGTTCCACTCGAGTACCTGGCCTGGCGCGAGGTGTCCCCAGTCGGCCTTCTCAGTGTATGCCTAATCCATCTCCACTTCCTTGTGCATATTTGTTGAGCGATAGGTTCTTGGCTGGTTCATTCCCAGCCAGCCACACTGAGTTCCTTGTTGCTTATTCTTATTATTCTGGCCATCTGATCTTCAGTGTCAGTAACGAGCCAGCGTAGGCAGTTGTTGATGAATATCTGTAGTTTGTTGGAAATGCTTTTCGTGACACGCCAAGTTTCTGAACAACATAGCAGCACTGACTTGACTGATGTCGGTGTTGAAAATGCGGATGTTGTTCACGCTTTGTGCTGAGTGCAGTAGATCTCCACACTGATTTCACATTAGTGAAAGCTTGTCTTTCTTTTCCGATTCTAGGTTTAACATCCTCATGTGTGCCACCGCCTGTAGTTGAAACGATGCTGCTTTTCCTAGGTAGGTGAAAGAGACTACTTCCTTTAAATTTCTCCTGTTGATGGTGACTGGTGCTTGTTGTTGATGCTGTTGCTAGTTGGGTATCTTCATCACCTCTACCTCTGTCATCTCTACATTCACCTGAAGTCCCGTCTTCTATCGCTGCCTCTTCTCTCAACTTGTTAGTTTTCGCCTGTAGGTCCTCGAGTTTGTGTCACAAGATGTAAGACATAAATCATCGGCGAAATCGAAATCTTCTAGGATCTTTTCATTAGTCCAGCGCATGCCCCTCCTCTTACCCCTTACGGTTTGCTGCATGATCCAGTCGACCACAGTCAGGAAGATCATGGATGATAGTAGGCAGCCTTGTCTTACTCCTGTCTTCACTTCAAAGACGTCACTGAGCGTTCTATTGTAGATCACATAGCATGAGGCATCGTCATATAGCTGTTGAATGGGGTTGATAAAGAACTGTGGCACTCCGATGTGTTGAAGCAGCTGCCTGCCAAATTACTTCTCGGTTGACGCTGTCGAAGGCCTTTTCAAAGTCGATGAAGTTGAGGTAGAGAGTTAACTGCCATTCTATACTCTGTTCTATGGTGATCCGTAGCGTGGCATTGCAATTTTATCCGCACATAATTTGCTAAATCTGATAGAGTCAATTCAACAGTAGTCATGGACAAATTGGATTATTTCAACAAAATTGACGAACTTATCCAAACTGGACGAGATTAAGAAACCTTTAGACATGGACATGAATAAAATTTCGAAATGTACAGACGGTGATATATACTAACAGAAGTCATCTCCAGGTGAGTCTAAATGGTTCAATTTAATGCCTAAAACTAATAATCCTAGCAGAATTTATGGTACTTATTAGGGTTCATAAGCCACGTTATCCCATGAGACGTATTGTTGTTTTCAGAACTGTCAAACTTCATAGCATCGTAATTAGGAACCGTTCAAATTCTAGACCTCCATATACAAAAGGATGAAAAAAAATGGTTGGTTTCGATGTAACTAGTTTCATACTAAAATACCAATCAATATGACACTGGAGGTAGTCAGAAGTCAACTAAATATTGACTCAGAAATTAATCACACAACTAACATATCAGTTGATGAGATAATATGAGGCATACAGTTGTGCCTGACCTCAACACTTTTCAACTTTCAGAACAAAATATACAGACAAACAGAAGCAGTAGCAATCGAATCACCATTCGTAGCAAATGCATTTATGGATAGTTGGGAAGAAATGGCTTCACAAACATAATCCTACACTTAAGATATGGTGGCCATATGTGGATAACACATTCCCCTCACTGTGTTGAAATCGGAACATATCCACACTTTACCCACACATATATAAACTCAGTAGTAGGCCTAATCCAATTCACTTATGAGACCGAAAATGAAGAAGGATAATTATTCATATTGGATTGCATAGTGAAACGAAGGACAAATGCTGCTTTCCATACTACCATCTTTTCCCGGAAACCAACACATTCCAACAAGTAGGTATCTAGACTTCAAGTCATCCCATCCAATGTCAGTTAAGGCAACTGCTCTAATCAAATGTCAAAGTGATACACCTAGAAAACTGACTAGTGTCAGTGCAACCATCATCTACATAACAAGTTGAAACACATAAAAGAAGCGCTAATACTTAACAATCATCCTCCGCAGTTTATTAACAAATTCGTAAGGACACATGAGTACGAATAATTACGACAACACAAGTAGAAAGGAGTTCACAGTCTCCATTCTGTTATCCTATAACGAAGGTACATCACAAACTTCACGTAGGTTCCTCAACTAAACTCGAATTACAGTGGCATTCGGAAACCTGCAAACTCACTCACAGATAAACTTTGTCACCTGGTGGTTTAGGGATCGATAGAACCAATTCACAAAAATAATCGAATCTATCAAATTACATGTAATGACTGCCAGTGTCGTCAAGTACATAGGTGAAACTAGCCCTGTTGGTGTCAGGGTCAGTTAGAATAGCCGAACATAGAATTTAGCTAAATATAGAATGACAGGTTGCAATCAGATCAATAATCGGAAGGGAAACTCGCCAACTGCAATGTATGCATGGATTAACACACAACCACACAATGGGGTGGTGGATAAAACCACTTACTCAAGTCAAATATAATGAGATGGAGAGAGAGGGAGGAATCGATTACTGAATCCTTATTCGTCGAATCGTCTGAACTGTTGACTTACATTATTTCTACAGCTGTTCCTTTGAATCTCTACCACAAACACAACTACAAAACACTAGCAGGAGGAAAAGTAACTCGAACATGACTCCATATAAATAATATTTTGAAACGTTTTCTTCATATTGAAAATATAATATTGCTAAACTGAGTATAAAAGTGATATTTAATTACATGGATCAAAAATGATAATAGTTATAATGTATTATACAGTTTGAAGTCTTCTCTTCATTTTATCAATCATTCACTTCGTAACATGGCTAGGCATAATCTTAAATTTATTGACTTCTGTTTTAGTACAGCAGCTAAATCTGGGATATGAATAACTTTAGGAGCAGATGATGATACACTAGTCATTTGTAATCTAATATGGAATTAAATTTTACCACAGTACCCAAGTTGTACACCTATATTAATTGTATTCTGCCAATAATGAATGATCAATTTTCAAAGTGATTTATAATTTACACCATCCACATTGACATTCTTTATAGAGTAGTATTTTTTTTTAGCTGCCCAACTCCGGTATAAACACAGTTTCCGCTGGAAGCCATCACTTAGCAGAGATCTTAAGGTATGATCTCTGATCAAAAAGTGTCATCAATTAGAGAGGGCTAAATTGGCCTTCATGAGCTGAATTTCTCCGGGTATACTACTGATGATATCTTAGCTTATAACGAGGAAAATATTCCTCCAGTGTACATATCACTGACTGACCGGGAAACCCATAGATCACTTTCAGTAGTAGTATCTTACTAACTGACTGATAAAATCAAATTAGAAACTCATAAACACACCCATCGGCTCAAGTTGTCACACTTCACGGTAGTACACATAGAACAGGTAGATAGAAAAAGACTTCTATCAAAGTTAACAAACTTGTGTGTGACACAATAAACAATCTGAAGATAACACTTAGTGGAAATATTCAAGCTTTAGAAGACGTCAAAGAGTGAATTCACCTACACCATTGCGATTGATTTCCAATCTCGAATACCCCAACCAGGAAATCAACATCCTCCCACACAACTCATACCAAAGGTTACAGACTTCATCGACTGGTGCCACGTCTTGGTCTGGTCACCCTGAATCCTCTTCTACACTAGTCCAGATTCCCCTCAGTATGACACTTCGAGGTAGGGATAGTGCATCAGCATGCGCAGTAGATGTCTAAGCCATCTCAGTCGATGAAAGTTCACAAATTCATCCACCGACTTGCCTCTCTTTCATAGAACCCTCCCCCTCAACATTGCTCTCGTGATGACTGCATCATACACAAGGAATGCCACGAAGAAACCTATGATCAACACCATGTAACCGCTTTATGTCTTCTACCTTCAATGGCCATGTCTCACAGCGGCACAACATGACAGAACGGACTGATATCAGTGCAGTATACACGTCCTTTGAGAGATAGTCAATATCTCGACAGTCGGCGGCAGTAATCATACAAGTTGACAAATGTCAAACGAGCCTTCTGTATCCGAGCTGAGATTTCATCAGTAACTAGCTCATTCAAGCTGATGCATCCAACCACTTCACTCCGTATCAGTGTAAATTGAGGATGGTTACAGACCAGTCCTGGAGCATAATCTTACATTCAACAGGTGCGAAACGTATGTTAAACATAATTAGAATTCTGCTCAACGCGTTTACGAGACTATACATTTTGTCAGTGTCTTCAACCAGTAGGACAATATCATCTGACACTGGAAAACAGTTACGCTAGATGATGGAGTTAGCTGATGATTTCGTTTACATCTACTTACATCAACAAAGGGATCGAGTTTTAAATGAGATAGACATAAACACATTTTGGCAGACATGAAAACAAGCTGTTGAATTTTCTATCCACTGATTACCCACCTTTTCATCCGATGTTAACATATCAAACATTAAATTCAAATAGCAAAGAATTGGTACTGAGCCTAGTAGGCCATCTAAAAATAGTTGACAATCAGTAATTTGACTGATATCCTCCGGTAAACCAACTAAAGTTGTCCATACAGCTTCAATACGCTTACCAAAACGATAATTAGTTTTCACCATAACACATGGTGTAATTTCATTGGATCCTTGAGTGTATGGTGTATAAGTACCACCAATTGCCATGTATGTTAGTAAATATAATACACGATTCTCTTCATTGAATCCTTTTCGATAACTACCTGTTCCAGGGCATACATCCAATTCTAAATCGATATAATCCTATTGTAAAATTGAAATAAAGACAACAAAATGACTAAGTATGGGAGAAAATGTACCTAAATGCATTTAAAACAAACAAACAGATGAAGTATGAAACTTTGATAAGCACAGGTAGGAGACATAAACATGGGTCAGAAAATTAATGTTCAAACAGCTTTCAAAGTTTTACACAGAAACAGACGGGGATATACTGAGATTTGTAGAAGCGATAGGCAATATGCAAATTGAGACCACCTTTATTTCATTATTTGTCCCTTGAGTTCCTAGTGGAACATAGGACTTCAGTAGCACGTCTCCACTCCACTCTGTTCTTCGAAATCTGTTGAACCTGGCTTCACTACTGCCAACAAGCTCTCATTTCCTCCTCATTCGACCTCTTCCATGTCACCCTCACCTCGGATGCCCAACTCGCCATTTCCTATCTGGATTCCACTCGAGTGCCTGGCCTGGCACGTGATATCCTCGAATGGTCTTCTCAGTGTATGCCTAATCCAATCCATCTCCACTTCCTTCCAGTGCATATTTGTTGAGCGATAAGTTCATGGTTGGTTTCTTTACTAGCCAACCAGACTTCCTTGTTGCTTATTCTTATTATTCTGGCCATCTGATCTTCAGTGTCAGTAACGAGCCAGCGTAGGCAGTTGTTGATGAATGTCTGTAGTTTGTTGCAAATGCCTTTCGTAACGCACCAAGTCTCTCAACCATATAGAAGCACTGACTTGACTGAGATTACTGTTGGAAATCTGGATGTTGTTCACGCTTTACGCTGAGTGCAGAAGATCTCCACACTGGTTTCAGGCTTATGAATGCCTGTCGTGCTTTTCCGATCCTGGCTGACTTTGACGTCCTCGTCTGTGTCTGTGCCTGTGCCGACTCCTGTAGTTGAAACAGTGCTGCGTAGATAGGTGAAAGAGACTGCTTCCTTTAAGTTTCTCCCGTTGATGGTGATTGGAACTTGTTGTTGTTGTTGTTGGTGGTGGTGGTTGTGGTGGTTGTGGTGGTTGGGTGTCATCATCACCTCTGTCTTCTCTATATTCACTTGAAGTCCCGTCTTCCTTCGCTGCCCTGCCTCGCCTCTTCTGTCAACTTCTTAGTTTTCGCCTGTACATCTTCAAGTTTGTGCGACATCAGACACAAGTCATAGGCGAAATCCAAATCTTCTAGGTTCTTTTCTGCAGTCCAGAGTATCCCCCTCTTCTCACAGCTCCCCACTGTTTGTTACATGATCCAGTCGACCATAATCAAGAATATCATGGGTGACAGTAGACAGACTTGTTTTACTCCTGTCTTCACTTCAAAGGTATCGCTGAGCTTCCCATTGTGAATTACTTGGCATGTGGCGTCTTCAAATAGTTGTTGAATGAGATTGATAAAGAAACCACCTTTAGTATATATTATTGTTTTTTTATATCATACCGTCGTTGATTGGACCGAATTCATCCTGGATTCCACTGCTAGCCATTATCCATCATTACTATCATAAGAGCACAGGTAATATCGAGGCATCCGCACACATGCCGATAGAGACCGATCGATTCGGTCCAATCAACGACGGTCTGAAAAAAACAAAATAATTATAGATACCAAAAACTATACCCATCGAACAAGAAGTGGATATCATGGCTTGGTGGTGTAATGGATAACACTCTGGCGTTTGAAGCGGTCGCTCCCGAGTCCGAATCCCAGTGGGAACGACACTCACCGGGAAGCAGGTACATCTGGCTGACAAGTCCCAAATAGGAGGAAATGCGCATCCTGGATCCCACTGTATCACTAATATCAACATAGGACCAGGCATTACTGAGCAACGGTCAGAGTTGCCACACCTCATATCAATACATCAAGTAGAAAAACAGTGAGGTGCAAGATGAAGATAAGAGAATGTAGTCAAAAGAAATATAAAGTAAGAGAAGAAAGAAAAGAGGAATGACAAAATGGTGAGATTCGGTATAGCGTTGTTAAGATGAGGATAATGTGTGTGGACACACACCTGCGCCACTGACATCGGTTCTCAGCCATCTCGTCACCTAGAGTCAGTCTGCAACCACTGGTTCTCTTGTCCCGTGGACCCTAACCACTTAGTCTGCATCGCCCTACATGGCTTAAACTAACAGTCAGAGACTTCAGGATTCCACTGCTAGTCACTATCAATCATTCGAACCACCTTTATGTGTATAAAAACAATTAGTTCTTACACCCTACATCTACCTTGGTAAACTTTGTTTTCTTGTCAAAATTAGGATCAATTATGATGGTACTCTTCTTTCTTTTTGCTCTCACCTTTCTTAATTTTAATCCCTTGCTTATCTTAATTGTCCTTCGGTTTCATACAAATTGACTTGATATAGAAGTACAACTTGGGCATTGTGGTAGATTGTAATTCCATTTTAGTCTGCTCATTAGAAAGGTCACACACACAGTGAAGGGACAGTATCATTTACTGGGTAACGCACTTTCGAACAGAGTTTATTGTTCATATTCATATCAGGTAACTCCACAACTTTGACATAGTTTATAAAGTTTCAATCCCTTTGTTCTTTGTGATGAGGGTAGTAGAATTCTGCATACGTCTGGAACAGATGCAGAATCGTTTCGATTACGCCATGTATTTGCTGTTGGTTCGAGAAACAAAGATTCGGTTATCAGTCTCTCCCTCCCTCCCTCCCTCCACCCAACTAAGTTAGTTTTTAATACTGTCGCTCTATCCCAACCTTGATTTACCTAAGGTTTTGTGCTCTGTTATTCCAGTTGACCATGGTCAACTACTTTGTCCTATGTATTTAACCTCGCAACCATTGTAAGAGATTTGGTAAACTATATTATATCGTCTAATTGCATCAACAGCTTGTTTCTAAGTGAGTTTGTTGGTTCCAATGACACTCTAATCCCTGCCAGCCTTATTGAGAATCTCCTCAATACTTCTGAGGTCCCTTTCGTGTACAGTAACGCTGCAGAGACTTTAAATTCTCTCTCGACCCTATCACCATTACTACTATTAGTAACAGAATTATTATTGATAACACCAGTATTACTCCTACTACTCACATTTTTCATCGATTTCTCATGAATTTATTTATAAATTTAGGTGGATAATTATTGAGACCCAAGGTATTCTTGTTGTGTCCAATTTCTTGTCATAGATTTATCTATCTACTAGTAAGCATTTTCGCCCTATCACTTAGGCATCTAAGTAAGCCTACTTTGACTGAAATGATTGGGAGGATTTAAAGTCTGAATAGCCATTCGAATGGAAAAGTTTCCTATAGACAATACTCTCTAAACTTCCATCTTTTTTTAATTTAACCTTGCAATCCAATATTCCTAGGTCACCTTCATCACTTTCCAAGTCATAGGTAAATTCGATTGGATTTACTACTGAAGTTATATATGTCAAGAACCTATTGATGTATTCTGACTTCAGTACTGTAAATGTATCATCTATATATCGGAACTATATCTCTGGAGAAGGACCATATAAATTCTATCTCAAAGTTGTGAAGTTAGTTACTTCATATGAATATAGACAACAAATTCTATCCGAAAAGATAACAAGTAAAGAATACTCTTCCACTGTATCGTAGTACTAATAAATGAATTAAAATGGAATAGCAGTGCGTCTAACTTCCTCCAAACTGAAATCAACAATCACGTTCATAAACAACTCAATTGAAAGATCGAATCTTTAAAAAAGAAACATTCTAACTTCTAGTCAGAAATAAAGATTCAATGATAAGGTGATAATCTATTACTTTTCAATTTTATACGAAGGTTCAAAGTTTATACACTATGGATGATATTTAGCGTCTTACACACACCTTACGACAGTTTATCAAAGTAGTCACAAATTGTATACATGTACGTATCATTTTCAGATAATCATGAAAATTTTGTTTGAAACTCTCAAGAAAAAACCTTAGCTTAAAATGTAATCTAGTTCAAAATGTACCAATTGCAGAATAAATGATAGACTAGTTAATAATCTAACTCTTCGGAAAAACTGCCTATCATAATCACCCTAATGATATTATCTACAGGCTTGTGGAGATTTACTAAGTGATTTCAGGTTGCATTCATCATGAACTGGTATCAGTTAGAGGAACACTGGAAATCGAGGCATTCAACAGCTGTTTAGTCATAGTATAGGACTCCTCACCAGTAACAACTCCTGACCCGCCTCTCCAGGGATCGAACCCGCAACCTTCAGGTCCCGTAGCCAGCACGTTACCATTAAGCCACTGGGTCGGAATCCAATACTTCGTATTTCCTGCATGTAGCTGATGAGTCTGTATCAACTATTCATCTGGATCCAAAATTGCAAGCAGAACAGGCTGGCTGGCTTCAGGAAAAAACAAACAGGCGAAAACTAACAAGTTAGCAGAAGAGGCGAAGCATAGAAGGAAGACGGGACTTCCTTCACGTGAACGTAAAGAAGACAGAGGTGATGAAGATACACAAGCAACAACAACAAAATAAGCAACAATCACCATCAACATGAGAAATATAAGAAAGTTGTCCCTTTCACCTATCACCTACACAGCATCCTCTCAACTACAGGCAGAGGCACAGATGAGAACGTCAAAGCCATGATCGGAAAGACAGCAACACAAGTCTTCTTCCATTAATCTGAAATCAGTGTGCAGATCTACTCCACTCCACTCCACTCCACTCAGCATAAAGCGTGAACAACATCCGCATTTTCAATACTAAGTCAGTCAAGTCAGTCTTTCTATATGGTTCACAGACTTCGCGCCTTACCAAAAGCATATTCATCAAACTGCAGACATACATCGTCAACAGCTGCCGCCTACGCTCACTCAATACTGAACATCAGATGGCCAGAACCATAAGAATAAGCAACAAGGCATTCTGGCCTGGCTTGCAACCAACCAACCAACCAAGAACCTACTGCCCAACAAATATGCAGAAGAAGAGAGTGGAGATGGATTGGATTGGATTGGATTGGACATACACTGAGAAGACCGTTTGGGCAGTCGTGGAGCCAGGTTAAAAAGACTGTAGAGAACAGAGTGCAATGGCAACGGGCTACTGAAGCCCTATGTTCCACTAGAAACCCAAGGAACAAATAATAATAATAATAAGAAAATTCAGAAAAAAACACAATGACGTAAGGAATACTGAACAAAAAATGATTTTCTTTTCGTGATCCATAGAGCCGCGTCAAGTGCTGCGGAGATATTAAAGTCATTTATTTGACAGTGAAAATCGAAAACTCTCCACTATTTTACATTCATCCAATACATTATGAGATGAGGAGCTTCCAGAAGTAAAGCAGAACAACTAAACCGTAGACAGATGGGTGTTGAAAACAGTGAAAATTATTACATTCATATAATGCAACGACATTCATAAAAAATCATGACCATAAGCTGTAATTACATTATGTTATCTGTATCCAAAAAACAGTAGCTCAGTGAAATTTACCATGCAAAGTAAACAATAGATTGATTTACATCAGGCACGTATAATTTTTAATCCTAAGCTAATTTAAACTTCATAATAATCCACAAACATAGAAGAAACGACTGACTGACAAAATCCATATAGGACCACGAATACAGGTCTATCCGCTCACTATACCTCAAAGTAGTATACAAAGAACAAGTGGATGGAAAAAAGTGTGATATCAAAGTAGATAAAGTTGTGTAAGAGAATCTGATGTCAAGGAGTGAATACATCTGTATCCATTTTCAGCCATGTAACCAAAACTCTTCAATCATCTTTCAGATACCAATCAGGTAGTTTACTTCTCCTGAAAGAGGTTTGTATGACCGCAGAGCCCATCGGATATCTGCTTGAGGCCTGTCACACACAGCCTTTTGTGTATGATTATTTTGAACTTTTGTATTTTGGGGGCCGGATAGTCGAAAAGAAACGACAAATGAACCACCACAGCCGGCCCGGCAGACCGTGAGGCATGGTGAAGTGTCTTATTTTTGGGGGCCGACCTTTTCTAACCCCATCCCCCTTCCTCTGAGACAATAGCATCAGCATTGCACTGCTGATTATCAGAGGAAAAAACCTTACTGGTGTCATATTCCATCCAGCTAGAAGCAGTACAACTTCGCCCTCAGACCCCCATCGTAGTGTAGTAATTTACACCACAAAGGTAACTGCTTTTCGTCTAACCAATATCCAACAGACCTCACTGGCATGGTAGGACCTCTAGGGAACAAGTGTTTCACCAGCATAGTTCGTTGGGTCATTTTCATATGCAAGCCCGACCACCACGTCAAGGTAGCAGCTATCGGTCGGCTCAGAACCGATGTCAATGGCGCAGATGTATGTCCACACACATTATCCTCATCTTAACAACGCTATACAGAATCTCACCATTTTCCCATTCCTCTTTTCTCTCTTCTCGTACTTTATATTTCTTTTGACTGCATTCTCTTATCTTCATCTTGCACCTCACTGCCTTTTTACTTGATGTAGTGATATGAAGTGTGGCAACTCTGACCGTTACGCACTAATGCCTGGTCCTAGGTTGATTTGGATGGATGGATGATGAGTTTACACCTCACTAAACGACTCATACTGACAGGCAGAGACAATCATCCCCTGGTGCCACAACTTGGTTTGGTCACTCTGAACTCTCTTCCAACCTAATCCAACTTCTCCCAGTATGGCACATCAAGGTAGGCAGTGGTTCGGCTTCACCAGTACACTATACAACATTTCAAGTAGTCACATTTCAAATCAGTAAGTAAAAATAAAAACATACAACAAAAGGAAAGTAAAGAAATAAGTGGAAAGGTAATCAGAAGTTGTAGGATATTTTAAAACTATAAAAATATTTCGTCGGTAGCGTGAAGAACCTACCGTACTGAATAAGTGAAAGAAGTAACGTAGTAAGTGCCAAACGCAAAAAAATTTACAGACCTTTTAAACACTTTAGTAAAGCTTCTAGTAGTTTATTTATAAAAGTTTTCAAATTTTTGTAAAACTGACTATCCTACAGAATTTTTTCAACACATTTTGATAATCCAGGTTCGTGTTCATCATAAACTGACACCTGAGAGGACTAAATAGCTGATTTCTCCTAGTATGGGACCCTTCACCAGTGAAAACCTATGACCTCCAGCAGGGATCAAGCCCAGGGTCTTCAGCCTGCGCGATATCACCTGAATACTTTCGTGTATTTTTACACCTGTATCTTTCTACTGAGTATGAATCCCATGAGACTTCAGTCTTTACTAATTTCCAGATTAAATTAAAGTCAGAGTCGGTATGAAAGGCAGTTATGGGGCGACAGGGGAGGGGTTTGGTGATTGAAACGTGAAATGAAAATCTAGACCACGGTCTGACTCCAAAGCGATCATCAAGGTTTCCAGCCCAGCACTTAACCAACTGAGTTACAAAGTCCAACTATTGATCAGATTTTTATTTCACTTCAATCACCAAGAGTTTTTACCGACTATCACATGAATTTGCAACGTATTACTACCGTTTGGTCATACTCACATTGCTTGTCCAAGCACAATTCAAACACATACCTGTATCAATTTCAATCTAGGAGTATATATAGTCTGATAAAATTCTATCAGTTTAGGCATATTGTCCATTGACGGTTCAAAGTCTTCAAGTATTGGATACATGCTTAAAGCAGAATCAAATATACGCCTTGACTCTTGAATTGGAATTTCAGCATCTTGACTTGTAGCAGTAGCGAGTAAATCTTGACTAATTTGCCAAAAACCTCTTGCATAAGCTCGCCATAAATTTAAATCACGTTGATTTCTACCCTCAGATATAATTGTTCGACCACAATTACGCCAAATAGATATTGCAGTCTACAAGTATGAAAAAACAAAGAAGTAAAATTTTTTATAAAATTTAAAGGAAGTAACTCATGATATTCTAATCATGAATAGCCTCTACTGGTGAAAACACGTGTCCCAACTAACGACTGAAGTGGTTGGGACATGTGTTAAGCATGCCTAGTCACACAATGTTGGCCAGGTCCAGACTGGAAAAAGGCTCGAGGTGGCCATACTAAACATGCCACCAATGTATGAAGTCTCTAACTGTTGGTTTAAGCCATGTGAGGCAATGCAGGACTAGTCGGTTGGGGTCCACGGGACAAGACGAACAAGTGGTTGGAGACTGACTCTAGGTGACGAGATGGCTGAGAACCGATGTCAGTGGCGCAGGTGTGTGTCCACACACATTATCCTCATCTTAACAACGCTATACCGAATCTCACCATTTTATCATTCTTCCTTTCTCTCTCTGAGTACTTTAAATTTATTTTGACTGAGATTTCTTGTCTTCATCTTCCACTTCACTATATTCTTACTTGATGTATTGATATGAGGTGTGGCAACTCAGACCGTTACGCAGTAATGCCTGGTCCTATGTTGGTTTGGATGGATGGCAAAACTTCCAAAGTGAATCACTAGAGTCGTAAACAACAATAATTAGAAAAAAGTAAACTGATATTTGAAAGTGAATCAGCGAATATGAGTATAATTGGAGCTCAGCATCTATGTGCACTAAGTGATACCAACAGTATAACAACCACTGATACTATCTGATCTGATCTGTAGATTTTGCTAGCTAGATAAATAATGATCTAAACACTACATGACTATTAAATATATCTCTCGGATTGACACTGTTGATCACTTCAACCTTGAACCAGCGAAACAACCCATCCAACTTGAACTGAGTGTAATCTTGGTTGATTTAAGGAGATGACTATCAACCAGTAGGTCACTGGTTTGGACAACCAGGTAATATCACGATAGGCTTGCCTCACTATCTACTGCACGCTTGTGTACAATGTGGGTGAGTATGTTCTGTTTGATTCCGTTAGGTGGTTTGCAGACTGAGAAACTATATACAGCTGTCAGTACTTTAAAAGTATTGCATTAGTTAACTTAGCCTGGTTAACTAGTTCACTAGTTACTAGCCAGTCTTAAGCCCGGGTAAAGAGGGAAGGTTGGGAGTAGGGTTAGCAACCCTACCCCATAAAACTAATTCAAACGCTACAGAAACTTCAAACCATAGACAAAATATAAAAAATAAAAACAAAGTTATTCCTCGCTGGAATCGGCAGGCAAAAACTAACCAGTTGACAGAAGAGGAAGGGCAGGGCAGCGAAGGAAGACGGGACTTCAAGTGAATATAGAGAAGACAGAGGTGATGATGACACCCAACCACCACAACCACCACCACCAACAACAACAACAACAAGTTCCAATCACCATCAACGGGAGAAACTTAAAGGAAGCAGTCTCTTTCACCTATCTACGCAGCACTGTTTCAACTACAGGAGTCGGCACAGGCACAGACACAGACGAGGACGTCAAAGTCAGCCAGGATCGGAAAAGCACGACAGGCATTCATAAGCCTGAAACCAGTGTGGAGATCTTCTGCACTCAGCGTAAAGCGTGAACAACATCCAGATTTCCAACAGTAATCTCAGTCAAGTCAGTGCTTCTATATGGTTGAGAGACTTGGTGCGTTACGAAAGGCATTTGCAACAAACTACAGACATTCATCAACAACTGCCTACGCTGGCTCGTTACTGACACTGAAGATCAGATGGCCAGAATAATAAGAATAAGCAACAAGGAAGTCTGGTTGGCTAGTAAAGAAACCAACCATGAACTTATCGCTCAACAAATATGCACTGGAAGGAAGTGGAGATGGATTGGATTAGGCATACACTGAGAAGACCATTCGAGGATATCACGTGCCAGGCCAGGCACTCGAGTGGAATCCAGATAGGAAATGGCGAGTTGGGCATCCGAGGTGAGGGTGACATGGAAGAGGTCGAATGAGGAGGAAATGAGAGCTTGTTGGCAGTAGTGAAGCCAGGTTCAACAGATTTCGAAGAGCAGAGTGGAATGGAGTCCTATGTTCCACTAGGAACTCAAAGGATAAATATTAAATAATAATAATAATAATTGCATCAGTTAACTTACTGACATATCATTATCATCTCTGATGAAATATCATCATCACAAATAACAATAGTAAGAAAATCAAAATGCTACAACTTTAACTATCTACCTTAACATTAGCTAAATGTGTTTGAATTGCATTTGAAAGACGTTCAGATGCAACTGTAAAACGTAGTTTACTCAATGTTGTACACCAATTCTCTTTAATTTTTAAAGGCCACCAAAATGGTAAATCATTCATTTGAACAATTGCTGAATCAATAAAACAACGATGAGCTTGAGACCAAACATCTTGATGTTCATTAGCCAACTGTGAAGGTGTATTCAATTGTTCATTTTTATGATTAATATCATTTTGTTGATTTGATATTTCTGAATTACTTGATATCCATGATTGAGATGGAAATGGTGTTAAACCTTGACGTTGAACAGTTCCAACAGAAGATAAATCATGTACAAGACGTATATCTAATAAGTGAAGTGAAGAAGAGAAAACAACAACAACAACACAAAAGCATTTTAATACAAATACAAATTTAAAAAAGGATGATATAGAAAACACCCACAGTTTGATTAACAACGTTTTCAATGACATCAAATTCACAATGGAAAAAAAGAGTCAAACAACCAACTACCATTCCTGGATGTTTTAGTCAGTAGGACAAATACCGGAAAGCTGGAAACTCAAGTCTACACGAAGCCAACATACACTGGCTGCGCAAATCCTCAACTACAATAGCAACAACCCAACAGCACACAAAATCAGTTGCGTACAAACTCTATTCAAAAGAGTAAGAACACACTGAACCACAATAACTTCACGGAGAAACGAAGAAAATTACTTGATGTCTACCATAAACAAGAACGGCTGCCCACGAGTCTTTATTATCACAAGATGCCTATCCCGTACATCATCAACTACAAAGTCATCGACACAAATCAACAAACGCATCATCCTACCATACATAAAGAATATATCAGAAATCACAACAAGATTGCTGAGATCATTTGGAATTGGTGTGGCCACTCATAAACCAACAAATTACCTCCAAACACTATTATGCAAACCAAAGGATGCAACAAGGAAAGAAGACAAACCGAATGTCATCTACAAAATCAACTGCAATTACTGTAGTCAACCAACCCTACATTAGACAAAGCGACCGCCCTCTTCGCCTTCGTCTACATGACCACCAATTGGCTAGTAAACGCCACGACATTTCGTTACTCATTTCAATCCACGTGGATAACAACTATGGACATCAATTCAATTTCCACAATGTAGAAATTTTAGATGGAGAGAGGAAATATAAAGAATGTCAGAGAATTTCTAGAAGCTTGGCATTCATGTCAGTCAGCAATCAATAGATGTATAGACAAAGACCCAATCTATCAATCAATAAGAAAAATGATAAACGACAGAACGGTCAGAGGTGAAGCAGAGGAACAGCCAAAAATAAAGTCTATACAATCAATGACACAACAATCAAAGGAAACAACCAATCACAAACCAGTTGGTCAGGGCGAGCTACTAAATCACTCACTCACGGAGAGATATTCACAGCTCAATTCATACTGAAATTAGCGCTGATGATGTCGTCTAGCAAACCGATGAAAGCTTCACGATTAAACAACCCACCTCAGACAACACAATACAACCAAGACCATCTCCACCTGAGCTACAAGTATTCTCTATCATTACAAACTATTTTACATCAATGTAAAAGTCATTAGTATATGAGTGGATTAATGATTGAAAATGTCAATAAAATAGGCTTAAGTTGATTTCCTAGCGTCCACTTTTAATGACATATACATTTTTTCTCATTTCACTGTCTGAGATAGCAGTGGTTTTACAGACTAGTACTGATAATGAATAATGAAATTTTGGACTGCAGCCGGATTCGAACCAGCGACCACCGGGGTTTCCGACCTGATGCTCTACCAACTAAGCTACAAAGTCCAACTGCTGAGCAGATGTTTTTCATTTCATTTCAATCACAAGGTAGGGTTTTGCCTGACCAACGTTACTACCGTTTTCTCGTATTCACACTGGCTGCCTACCAATCAGGACTTCTCATCCTAATCGAAATCGAAATGAATTAGAAAGGTGCAGCATCATATTGATTATCATTTCTGACTATCTGAGGTAGCCGTGAGTGGTTTGGTAGACTACTACCGATATTGGATGGTGATTGAAATAAAAAGTTGGACAGTTGCCGGATTCGAACCGAAGACCACCGAGTTCCCGGACCGACGCTCAGTTGGTACAGCATCGGGTCGGAAACCCGGTGGTCTCTGGTTCGAATCCGGCCATGGTCCAAATTCTCATTTCACCTTCAATCATCACTCAGTATCAATACTAGTCTGCCAAACCACCGCTACCTCAGATAGTCAAAATGTCAATTTGATAAGTGTTCTTCTGCATAAATGATTCCAAGTTGCCAGAATTGTAGAATAAAGGTGATATCCATGTTTAGTGTGTTGTGTGTGAATTACAGATTGAGATTTGTATGTGCACGTGTGTTGATAGTTATTATCGTTCCCTTATTCCTATTTAGACAATTATGATCCCCCTTTATGTGAAGAGATTCTACAATCAGACGATCAATCAATCAATATCAACATACGACCAGGTATTACTGCGCAACGGTCAGAGTTGCCACACTTAATATCACTACATCAAGTAGAAAAACAGTGAGGCGCAAGATGAAGATAAGAGAATGCAGTCAAAAGAAATATAAAGTAAGAGAAGAGAGAAAAGAGGAATGGGAAAATGGTGAGATTCGGTATAGCGTTGTTAAGATGAGGATAATGTGTGTGGACACACACCTGCGCCACTGACATCGGTTCTCAGCCATTTCGTCACCTAGAGTCAGTCTCCAACCACTAGTTCCTCTTGTCCTGCAGACCACAACCACCCAGTCTGCATCGCCCTACATGGCTAAAACCAGTTGTCAGAGACTTCATACATTGGTGCCATGTTTTAGTTTGGCCACCTCGAGCCTTTATCCAGCCTGGACTCACCTCAGCCAACATTGTGTGACAAGGTAATTGGTGACTGAGCATAGGTAGTACGTGTCCCAACCATCTCAGTCGATAAAGGTTCATAACCTCGTCTACTGATTTACCTCTTCTCCCTAAAACTCTACACCTGACTTCTGTATTACTCACATGGTGACACCACGGAATACGTCCTATACTACGAAGGCAATGCTGGTCGAATACCTGAAGCCTTCTCATGTCTTCCACCTTCAATGGCCATGTTTCACAGCCATACAGTAGAACAGAGCAGACTGCTGTGCAGTACACGCGACCCTTAATAGACAAACGACTATCACGGCGGCGCCGTAGGTGGCGTAAATTGGCGAAAGCCAATCGAGCCTTTTGTAACCGTGCAGAGATTTCATCGACAACTAACCCACCAGGGTTGATCCTACTTCTCAGGTAAGTGAAGTGGTCGACACACTCAACCACTTCATTCTCCATTGTTAGTCGTGGTACCGCTGAAGACCAGTCCTCGAGCAACAATAAGACGATCTTTATAGTTTCTCAAAGCCTTTCTGAATAATTTCGATATTGTTAAAATTGACCTTGTAACCATAAATTACAGCGAATAGAGCTATGGCTAAAGTGTTTTCAGCTTAAGTGTATGAAGACACTTCCTTCGAATTTGGCTGAGCTAAGTTGATAATACATTCGTAATTTCGAAATCTGACGAGTACACAATGCTGCAGTTCGCTTTATTCTCTTATGCGGCTGTGAAACATGGCCGTTAAATGAAGAAGACATGAAGCGATAACAGATGTCTGAGTAGTACTGCTCACGCTTGATGAAATCACCTTGTGAACAATGGTATGGTCAAACGAAAAGTGCTACACAGGATAAACAAGTCGATTGATCAGATTGTGAACCTTATTCGATTGAGATGGCTTAGATATATATGTACAGCATATGCCGATCCACTGCCTACCTCGAGATGTTATGCTAGGGGAAGTTGGAATAGGTAGGAAGAAGGTTCAAGTTAGTCAGACGATAACCTCGCAAAAATCAACGAATTCTCTTTTTTTGTTGGTCTGAGTCGTGTAGGGAGATGTAGACTGCCTGATCAGGGTCCTAAGAACGAAAAAAATGCTTTACCTTCAAATTACTTGTTCGCTCACACAACTTCGTCTACTTTCATACCACTCTCTTTCCATTCACTTCTTCTTTGTATACTACAGTGAAATGTAACAACTTGAAGTGATGCATTTATGTGACAGGTTTTTACGCTGATTTTCCCAGTCACTTGTCACATCCAATTACATAAAAGCAAAGTAAGTACGATAAATGGCTTTCAAACGTAAACAACACAACAAAAACAGCATGCAAATGTCAGTCAATCAGTAAGGATCAACGCTCGTACTAGAGTTACTGAAAGTGGCTCAATTTACTACACTTAACATCATTGAACAAAGATTCAACGAAACTGACCGAAATGAAAAAAAGAGATATGAAGAAAAAAATGTAATTGAAAGTCATAGCAAGTCAAAGATAAGAAGTAGAAAGTTAAAACAATGGTAAAATATCCTATGAAAAGAAATTAGGATGAAAATAATACACCGGTGTATTTATGCTAGTGAGATTGACTGTGAACTGTATCATTTGGAGTTTCAGCCTACTGATTTCAGTTGTAATCCGTAGGTAAACCGAAAGGTTGACAACTCTCTGCACTACACCAATGTCAAATCGTATTATCATCACGTTGCGACATTATCATCATCATCATCAATGTCAACATAGCACAAGGCATTACTACGTAACGGTCTGAGTTGTCACACATATCAGTACATCAAGCAAAAGGGTAGTGAAGTGGAAGATAAAAGTGATGAAATTTAGTCAAATGAAATATAAAATACTCAAAGAGAGAAGGGAAGAATGAGAAAATGGTGAGATTCGGTATAGCATCGTTAAGATGAGGATGATGTATGCATACATTTGCGCCAGTGACATTGGTTCTCAGCCATCTCGTCACCTAGAGTCAGTCTCCAACCACTTGTTCGTCTTGTCCCGTGGACCCCAACCGACTAGTCCTGCATTGCCTCACATGGCTCAAACCAACAGTCAGAGCCTTCATACATTGGTGGCATGTTTTAGTCTGGTCACCTCGAGCCGTTTTCCATCATCATTATCAACATAGGACCAGGCATTACTGCGTAACGGTCCGAGTTGCCACACTTAATATCAATACATCAAGTAGAAAAACAGTGAAACGCAACATGAAGATAAGAAAATGCAGTCAAAAGAAAAGTACGAAAAGAAAGGAAAGAGGAATGACAAAATGGTGAGATTCGGTATAGCATCGTTAAGATGAGGATAATGTGTGTATACATCTGCGACACTGATTTCGGTTCTGAGCCATATCACCTAGGGTCTCCAACCACTGGTTCCTCTTGTCCCGTGGACCCCAACCACCTAGTCTGCATCGTCCTACATGGCTTAAACCAGCAGTTGGAGACTTCATACATTGGTGCTATGTTTTAGTCTGGTCACCTCGAGCCTTTTCCAGCCTGGACGTATTTCGGCCAACATTGTGTGACGAGGCATTCGGCGACTAGGCATGCGCAATACGCATCCCAACCATCTCAGTCGATGAAGGTTCATAATCTGATGCAACAAGGCTATCAGTACATTAATCTTACCCATGGGGAAGTTATAAGTCTTGGCCACTTCACGATCGTATGCACCAAGGAATTCTAAGCATAACAAGAATAAACGTTGTTGAAGTAATGCTCTACGCGTTTGACATTGAGAAGTATCGACTGTACGCTTTTCTTCATATTTCCATAAATCTATTAAGCATGGTTTCACATCATCGAATAGAACTAATCTATCAGGATCTTCATCTTCAATAGCCTTTTGATCTTGTATATTCAATACATCTGAAGGTAACCAACCAACTGCTTCACGTGCACGTTCTAAACCAACCCAAGCTTTACCACGACGATATAAAATAGCTCGACTCCTTCCAAATGAACCATGTCCTGCTAGTGAAGGAATATGTCCACGACGAACCCATTGATCAGCAGCAACTTCAGATGATAAAATAGATGGGATAACATCTGGACCTGTCTTTTCATACGATTCATCAGGAATACCTTCACCGGAACAATTGATCAATGCATCTTCACATGTACTAGCTATGGCTAAATAGAAGTTGAAGATATTAGACAATAGTATACAAAATTATTAATTATGAGACAATATTCGTAAGTCATTACATTGAAACCAACAGCAAATGCATAAAATAAGCTATCAACTAAAAAAGAAGCTGGTACTACACCACAATTAACCTGATGTGGTTTACAGACAAGATCGGTAAGAGGTTAGTATGGAGTTCTTAAACATTATTGATTCAAAAGAAAAAAGGAACTAATCTTGTTAGGCAACGGAGAACATACATAGGCAATATGACTATCAATTATCCCTGAGTATAGTTGATAGAAGATTGCCAGTCTTTCCGGAACACATCATTCAATAATGATCACGAACTGATTCGAGCAAATCTATATTTCAGGCTAAATAGACGGAGGAAATCTACAACTTGAAGACTGTTTCATTTGCCATTCGATGACAAGAATGGCTAAGACTTCTCTCAATGAACAAGTGACTAGACCATTATTGGAATACGACAACATCCATCATTCTTAAAAACTCTGATACCATTTGCATTCTGATATAAAACCAGTGGTAAAAACCATAACCGATCCACAGAAACAGTTTAAAGGTAGCCGATAGATCTTATTAACTGTATATGAATTAATGGAAGCACATGAATGAATCATTGCAGGATTCTAGCACAACACTGAGCGAAAACAGCTAAATCAGACTGACAGTCTTCGCAATGACTGTGAACAACAGTAAACAAAGAAGCCCCGGGAGATGGGAAAGCTACAGGCGAGGGGTAACAGTAGACGGTAATTTCTACTGGTTAAGAAAACTAAAGCGAAAAATCTAATGATTAGTGAAAACGTATGAGAGGAGGACGGGTCTACAGCTGAATGAACAGGGAAGATGACTACAACGATGAGCAGGATAATTCGAGTAACAGTTAACCTAACCTCTCTAGTTTTCCGCTATCCAGATCGGTCCTGAAAGGAAAACTGGATAGGCCCTCCAACTCCTGTAGGAGTTGGGAAGACTGTATGTCAACCGAAACGAGGGAAGTAATGGACCCCGATGGGCTATACCATCTTATTCGACGGCTATTACTTAAATTCACTCTATGTAAATCAAATATGATCTCCTTGGGCTGGTCTCAAACACTGATTGCCACAGTCTTCAAGAACGGAGAGAAATCATCCTCCGATATCCACAGAGGCGTCAGTCTGATGAACATACTATCAAACGATCCTACATTCTATGATCCTCACAAGCTTAAGTGAAACACAAAAACATTAAAACTCAGAAAACAAGGCAGTTTTTACAACTGGTCATGGGTGTATCAACTAGTTATTCACCCTCCACAAGATTCTGGAACACATACATTCTGATTCTGAATTGAACTGAAGTTGACCGCTATGAAAAACACATCTGAACGTCTGGTTTCCAGCAGAAGGTTAGGTAATTTTCACTAGAAGTCATCTTTCGCTTCGTTCGAACTGCAGTCATTCGGTGTATACGCAAAATTAAACAAGGAAGACAATGGTGAATTTCACTATTCATTAAAGATGTAGGTGTATTCCTTGACGTGAAGGCGACAACTAACTTCTTCAACCGACTGAAATGCGTGCCAGGTAAGTACATTAACTCATAACAGGCACTGTATTTGAACACCTATGAGTGTATTTCAGCCGAGGGTAACTTATCATATGAACTGTATTGGTCGATGGATGTCCAGTCACTCCAGTCACTCTAGTTTCATCATAAACATGCTTATTAAGGTCTCCAAATCACCATTTTATTTTGCGAAGATTCACCTTAACACAGGATATCCCTTAATCGGTTTAAAGTATGCAGATGACAAATTCCTTCTGAGTGACGACACTTACAAGATGTAGGGTTAACTGCATAACTTCAGTGGTGATTCGAGAATATTTCGGACAACTTCCTCACCATTCAAATGCAAATCTCTGCTCTAGGAGTAGTCTGTTGGTATCTAATCTAACAATAGGGGGTAATGCTGCTGATCGTAGTGACCTAATTTTATAACATTCTATAATCTGTAATGACCATCTTCTAAAGTATCGATTTTCTTTATCGCTACGGTAGCATCGAATTTAGTATACACAGAGGGAGGCTAGGTCAATCAAAAACTCAAAATGATGAAAATTTTATGACATTATGAAGCCTACAAATTACACATATAGTGGGATTTAACAGAAGCATGATTAGTTAAATGACTAACTGACAAAATAAGCGTAGAACCTCGTGCATAGATCCATCACTTCACTACACTTCACAGCAGTAAATGAAGGACAGTTGAATAGAAAAAGAGTAATATCAAAGTAGACAACCTTGTGCGAGAGAATCAACAGTTCAAACATAACAGATAGCGCGAATATTCAAACTTTAGATGTCAAGGAGTGAATATATCTGCGCTATTCTGACCGATTTCTAGTCAGATCACCAGGAGTCCTCAACACTGATTCTTTTTGTTTCAGTGACCCCAACTACGCAGTCTACATCTCCCTACACGACTCAGACCAACAAAAAAGAGAATTCGTTGATTTTTGCGAGGTTATCGTCTGACTAACTTGAACCTTCTTCCTACCTATTCCAACTTCCCCTAGCATAACATCTCGAGGTAGGCAGTGGATCGGCATATGCTGTACATATATATCTAAGCCATCTCAATCGAATAAGGTTCACAATCTGATCAATCGACTTGTTTATCCTGTGTAGCACTTTTCGTTTGACCATACCATTGTTCACAAGGTGATTTCATCAAGCGTGAGCAGTACTACTCAGACATCTGTTATCGCTTCATGTCTTCTTCATTTAACGGCCATGTTTCACAGCCGCATAAGAGAACAAAGCGAACTGCAGCGCAGTACACTAGTCCTTCGAAATAAGTACATAAGATACCAGGAAGCATGATGTCCATTGGACAATTGAAATCACTGCTAGCGGATAAATGTATGTATTGATATACAAAATAAGACTTCCAGCATTATATACTAATAAGATAACAAACCATTTAGTTTTCCAGCTACATTGGTCCATTTCAGCTGTATTTCTTCAATCGACATATCTTGAGTGATCTCTGAAATGATAGATGAAAAACAATGACTTTCTTATGACTTTTAGATGATTGTGATTCATTTGATTTCAATTTTTCTTGTCGTCTATTTCGAGTTTTATACCAACCATTCCAATGTTGAGAACCAGGTTGACCAAATCTAGCTACACCACTTGACCAATATAACTCCATTTCCAGAATACGTTGATCAAATGAAGATTTTTCAAGTTCTATAGGTCGAAAACAATTGAATTCAATAACAGCTTGCCAAACTGCTAAAGCTCGTTCTGCATGACCTGCTTGGGCTAACCAGTGACAGTAATCAGCTAGGAAATCTGATATACATAAGGGAATAAAAGAGAATATTAGTAGACTTTATGAAAAAGGCACAACGCGAGCTACATTTAGAATGTACAGTGAAGCAGTTTGTATTCCCTTTATTATAAAGGTATTTGAAATATTAGAAGGATAATTCTATGTCAGTTGGGTGTGTATCTGCCATCCAGTGAGTGATCCCGTTCCGACCGAGACTCCGATCCAGCACTCAGATTCAAACTCCATAGTGTTATCCCACTAGGCTACTGAGTAGCCGACACATTACACAGAACCTATATACCATCCAATGTACGACGGAACTTCAACTGACTTTCTACAAGCACTGTTGCGAAGTGTAACAAGGTTAACCAGTATGTCTTTTTGAAGGGTCCTATTTTTCCTATCCACTATTCATTGTTTTTTTTATACAACATGTTGGTTTATGGGGATTTATTTGTTCATTTCAGGTTGGTATTCACTATGGACTGACATCTATGACCCCGCCATGGATGATGAAACAGCTCTACAGAGCTCCCAGGTTTCCAACGTTTCTGCTCCTGATGTTACTCCACGATGAATATCAACTTCAAATCAATAAATCCCCACTAACCCCCAAATTGAATTGTTCTAGTGCTCACTAGTGACTAGCTTTGAGAGGCGATTCCCGAAGTTCTAATGAATAGTCGTGACTAGTGGGGCAAACCCGGTGACATGAGGACAAATATTAAACGATGAATTGGCTGATACTCACGCTATATCGTGAACTGACAGAAGTTGGAAATATGGCTCATTGGATTCCGACACGGTGACTCAATGTTAACGTGCTGGTCGCGGAACCCGAAGGGTCTGGGTTCGATCTCTGGCGGGGTCATAGGTGAGCACTGCTGAGGAGTCGCATACTAGGACGAAACAGCTGTCTAGTGCTTCCAGCTGATCGATGTCTCTCTAATTGATGTCAGTCCATGACGAATACCAATATAAATTCAATCTTTACAATTTCAGCAAAAGACGCAATTTTACTAAGGAAACACAACGAATGTTGTTGATCAACAAGTCATGTTTTGTAATACTTCAAATGTCAGAAAAATACAGAATTCATTGACCATGCAACACCTACTGGGTGAGAACTAACGAATGACCTACCTACCTACCTACCTATTCGAAGCTTTCTCTGTACTTCGGTCAACCTTCGGAACCTACACCTTTCGGTCGAGAAATATGACAATTCGGGAACTGAAATCTCGAACAAAATATTGCACACAAATAGGATTCACAACTTTGAAGAAAAGAGTCATTTCAACTTTTCATAACTAACTACATACTAAGGATATGCAACGCATGTTACGGCTATGCAATACCTTTAGAAGCCTAGCCTAGGGCTAATAAGTGATATTTTACTAAAATAACCTCTCCTCAAATTAAAATGCATGTCTCAGTGCTCAAATTGCATCAAGTTTGCGCTTCGAATAAAAAAAATGCTATACATAGTAAGTGTTGAAAGAACTGATGGAAATCAATGTTCCGTACTAATTGAATGAGCTTTCAGTCAGTCAGAATCGACGTGGGAACCTGCATTACTGCGTTAGCTTCCAGGTTTCTACACCTCATATCGGCACATCAAGCAAGGCATAACCAAGCGTTTAAGATAAACAAGAAAGCAGTTCAACATGCAGGAAGTCTTGGAAAAGAAAACAAAGAAGTAAAAAGAAAAAAGAAATTCGGTGAGATAATTAGGACGACGATAGTATGTGGTCATAAATGTGCTACTGTTAACGATTCTGTGGCAAACCATATAGTCTAGAACCATTCTATTTCAGTTGCCACCTGAACCCCAACCAGGAAGTTTATACCCCGCTACTCGCATCAGACAAATAGTTAAAGACTTCATGAATTATCACGTTTTCCTATTTTTAATTAAGAATTGTTTCGTACCTAAAGGTACTTGATTTAACACTAGACGATAGGGAAGACAATGACCGGACACTCCTAAGACACGTACTAATCACCTAAGTTAATATACGTTTATAACTTCATCAGTGACTAATCTCTTCTGCACGACTTCTTTAAAGTTATTTTTCATGTGTGTCACATAGTAAAACATCATTTTAGCGGGAACTCTACCCCTGACTTCTGCATTACTGATGCAGTAATTCGGCAATATACAACCACTGTTAAGAAGGCAACATTGGTTGGACACCTGAAGCCTTCCCATTTCTTACATATTTAATGGTCATGTTGACGGTCATATAGTAGAAAAGAGCGAACTACTTCACCGAATACTCAACGCTCAATAGACAATTGGACATCTATCTCAGCGGCATCATAGGTGGTGTCGGTTGGAAAAGCTAATCGAGCCATTTGTATCCGTGACAATATTTCGTAGGTTACTGACCCATCAGAGCTGATCGGAATTTCGAAGTATATGAATTAGTTAGTGAGGTGAGGCACTTCACTTTTCAATCTTTTCAGTCCTTACTGTACAGTTCAGTTGAGCAGAGTACTTTTTGCTTAAGGAAGTAATGCCATACGCACACCTGTAAAACCTAAGAACCAGTCTTCAAATCTCCGGAAACCCAAAGACTGAATTTTAAAGATATAACCATACTGGCCAAGTGAGGTTAAGTGAATAAGCCGCTCATACACGTCCATAACCCAAGTTGCTAGAGTTTTGACTACTAAAGCTTGTCGGCCAAATTAACGGAGGTTGTGGACATTAAAGCTCCAATGTTTGATTTGGAGAGTGGTTTCAGTAAACTAATGATACTGTTCCATGAACTCAAATCGTTATGAAAGGCCTCAAAGCTGAAATAAATTAAAGATAATGTAGGATTATTTAACGGGAGATGTGAAGTAAGATTGTACATTAAAGATGTGGAGGGTGCACAATAATCCGAAGGGATATGAATTCTGGCAGCGCTTGACACTCCCCAGCTCCCATCACCACGAAAGACTAGTTGCTGTTGAGCTACGCAAAAAGAAGAGTTAGTAATAGTGGTAAATTGCGATAAGACCTAAAGGAACTTTGCTTGAGACCAATCATGCATGGCTTTTTAGGAAGTTTGAGGCTTAGCTTTGATGGATATATGCAAGCCCAACCATCCTGTCAGGATAGCAGATACTGAAATCCAAATGAATCAGCTTTAAATGTAAGGTGATAGTGTAGTGCGCGTTGTTGATAAGAATGAATATCAGTAGTATATGTCGAGAAAATGGTGGAAATTATCAGAAATTACCAGCAAGGGGGTAAGGATTCTGCCTAAGGAAATGCAAGAAACAGTGCGCGGGTACTAAAAGCGAAGCAAGATAGGAACAGAAGAAGAAATGAGGCACATTATGCAAATGACTGTCTTAATGCAAGGTGAACCATATTTGATGGCTACTGCATAAGATCTCAATAACAAATAATCCTTCCTTCGTCTCTGTCTTCTCGTTTCATTCAACAGCACCATCAAAATTGCAAAAGACTTTTGTATCCCAACTATTTGGTCAAATAGGTCCCAGAACTCCGAGTACAATATACTAATACAACTAATCTGCATTCCACTGCACCATGTAACAAACCGATGACCTCCGAACTCTTCCAACCAGCCCCATACCAAGTGAAATGTAAAGTGTGCGAACCGATGGGACGACTGCGTAACACATGTTCAAGTCATCAATCATGGTGTTTCAAGATGACTTCACTCAACGAATGATGATCTACATCACGCCCCCAGAAACACACATGCCACCTCACCACACAATTAATTACACGGAGTGTTTCCACAGAATGTGAGCAATCTTACACAGGTAACCGTAGTCCAACATACAGAAACAGTTATCGGACATCCTCACTCCACAAAGTCTACGTTTCACAGGTGTACAATAGAAATTCCTATATCAAAGTGTTATATACTTGACTATTTATACGAAGTCATACGTCACAGTTAATCTCGCCTAGTTATCAAGTTCACTAGTTACTAGCCGGTCCTAAACCCGGATAAAGAGGGAAGGTTAGGCATAGGGTTAGCAAACCTGCCCAGTAAAACCAACCCAAATACTAAAGAAACTTCAAAGCACAGACAAAATATAAAAAATAAATACAAACTTATTCCTCTCTGGAATCGGAGAGGTGAAATGACGCCAGTTGGTGAAAGCCTTCGCGAAGCCAATTGGCCGATGTGTCTTCTCTCCTTCGATGAAAGCGAAAGTAATCGTGAGGACATGGAATGTCCGCACGATGTTTGAACCCAGCAAGGCAGCACAGATTGCAAAGGAGATGAAAAGGTATCACATTGAAGTGCTTGGAATTTGCGAAAGCAGATGGAATGGAAATGGACTCTCCAAACTGTCAACTGGATAATCAATAATCTACTCTGGCATTGTCACACAGACGACAACCACGAGCACACTGAGTTATGGAGTGGCTATCATGATGTCCCCAACAGCATCGAAGGCCCTCATGCAGTGGGAACCAATCTCCTCCTGCAGGATCATGACAGCGAGGTTCGACTCAAAAGGAATGAAAGTCAAAATTATTCAATGCTGCGCTACACGCCAACAAATAATGCACATGAAGAGAAGAAGGAGGAATTCCACAGACAACCGCAATCAGTACTAAACGAGACTCCACTCCAGTTGGCGACATCAAAATTTTAATGCATCGAGTGACATCAATGCCAAACTGCGAGGAGAGGACAACACAGGAAGATAACTCATCATGGGTCGATAAACACTCGGTGAAATGATGAATGAGAATCAAGAACTGTTTGCAGACTTCAGCGAATTCAACGATTTGGTGATTGGAGGCTAGGCAGTGTGCATAAACACAAGGATATTCACAAGGCAGCGACATGGATTTCACCAGATACCAGGATACACTGAAAATCAGACCGACTTCATCTCAATGTGAAGAAAGTGCAGATGCAGTCAGCCTACTGAACACAAGATCAGATCAAGGAGGGGAGCAGATGTAGGTTGACACCACTCACTATCTAGTGCAAGAAACCTTCCAAATCAAATTGAAAGCTGTCAAACAAATCGGTGATAGACCACAGTTTAAGTTCAACACCCAGAACAGAAACTGAACTGAAGTACGAAACAACAAAGGACATCTTCACGTCGTCAGCCATTAGGAAAAAATGGGACGCATTAGGCAACATCCCTGAAGAAACCTGCGTCCAAGAACACCAGAACCTTTTGAAAGAGATGCAGAAAAAAAACCTGCATAACCGTATTAGGAAGGAAGAAGAAGCAAGACCAGCAATGCATCTCAACGGACACACAGAAGGTGATAGCTGAGGGAGAGGAAGATGGTGAAGCAGATGAACCAGTGCAGCGCAGTGCAAGGATGAACAACGAAAAGAGGAACTGAGAACAATGTATAAAACACTACACTGGACAAACAAATGAAGAAGAGTGCACTCAAAGACAAAACATACTTCTACAACACATTGGCAAGTAAAGCAGAACAGGTTGCTGGTAGGAGAGACCTGACAACATTATATAAAATAACCAGGTTACTATCTGGAAAGAGATCAACGCAGATGAAACTTATGAAACATAGTGAAGGGAACCTAGTTACCAAAGAAGAGAAACAAAGGAAACAATGGGCTGACCACTTCAAAAAACTCTTGAATCGACCACCACCACATGCAACTCGTCCAGAAATACCACCAGCAGCTCAACCACAGAACTATCAGTGAACATAAGCCCTTCGACAAAAGCAGAAGTGAACTCCTGAACGCCATAAGGTTGCTGAAATCCGGGAAAACAGCAGGACCAGATGTAATTCCTCCATAAGCACTGAAAACAGACGCAGAGACAACAGCGGACATCTTCAAACAACTATTGCAGAAAGTTTGCAAGGAAGCATGGAAAGGTACCTGCCGATCGATTGGAAGAAGGGCTACCTTGTCAAACTCACAAACAAGGAAGACCTAAGTGCTTGCAAGAACTGACGCGAAATCATGCTCCACACCTGTCCACCCCAAGCAAAATATAAGGCCGTATCACCCTGGAGAGACTAAAGGATGAGCTGGATTCAAAATTACGACCGAAACAGGCTGAATGGCTGACTTCAGGAAGTACAAATCATGTGAGGATCAGATTGCAGTGCCACGCTATGCATCACCATAGAACAGAGCGTAGAAGGACAGTCAACTCTCTACTTCAACTCCATCGATTTCAAAACGGCCTTCGACAGCGTCGACCGAGAAGTAGTTTGGCAGCTGCTTCAACACTACGGAGTACTATGAACCTTCATCAGCCTCATTCAACAGCTATATGACAACGCTACATGCCAAGTGCTTCACAATGGAAAGCTCAGTGACGCCTTTGAAGAGAAGACAGGAAGGAGCAAGACAAGGCTGCCTATTATCATCCATGATCTTCCTGATTGTGTTGGACTGGATCATGCAGCAAACCGTGAGGAGCGAGAAGAAGGGCATACGTTGGCTGGACTGATGGAAAGACCCCAGAAGAAGATTTGGATTTCGCCCATGACGATTTATGTCTAATGTCTCGTCGCACAAACTCGAAGATCCACAGGCGAAAACTAACAGGTTGATAGAAGAGGCAGCGATGGAAGACGGGACTTCAAGTAAATGTAGAGAAGATAGAGGTGATGAAGATACCGAACCAACAACAACAAAACAAGCACCAGTCACCATCAACGGGAGAAATCTAAAGGAGGTCTCTTTCGCCTACCACCTAGGCGGCAGCACCCTCCCAACTACAGGAGGTGGCACAGATGAGGACGTCAAAGGCAGTATCGAAAAGACAGCAAGGCAAGCCTTCCTTCATTAACCTGAAATCAATGCGGAGATCTACTGCACTCCAATCCACTCAGCATAAAGCGTGGACAAGATCCGGATTTTCGACACCAACGTCAAGTCAGTGCTTCTATAAAGTTCAGAAACTTGGCGCGTCACGAAAAACACTCTAACAAACTAAAGACACACATTATCAACAGCTGCCATCTACAATCACTCGATACTAAACATCAGATGACCAGAAAGAATAAGCAACAAGGAAATTTGGTCTGGCTGGCAAGGAACCACCCTAGAACCCATCACCCAATAAATATGCATAGGGATTGGGCATGTACTGAGAAGACCATTCGGGGACATCACGCACTAGGCCAGGCCCTCGAGTGGAACCCAAAGGGGAGACGACATGCTGGGCTTCCGAGGGTCACATGGAGGAGATAGTGTGAGGAAGAAATGAAAGCTTCTGGGAAGTGGTGGAGCCAGGTCGAAAAGACTGAAGGGAACAGAGTGAAATGGAGACGTGCTACTGAAGCCGTATGTTCCACTAGGAAGCCAAGAGAATAATAATCATAATAATAAGTCACAATCGCATTGAACGTGACTGAAATTGACGAATGCTGCTCTGGTGGTCATAGATGTAAGGTTACAAAGCTCAGTAGCTACACATCCACCAGCACATAAAACTATCCAGGTACACAAACGTTCCGACAACTTCCAACGGTTCACCACCAATAGTGAGTGTATATACAGACTCTTACCAATCTTGGAGAAACACTTTGCACTTCAACAGTTCAATGCACATAACATACACGTGAAAAGTGATCGCTAATTGACCGAGAAACCTTTATGCACAACCGCTCCACGTAAGTGGGAAGTCAAACTAACTCTGATGGCTCAGTAACCTACGAAATATTGTCACGGATACAAATGACTTGATTGCTTTTTCCAACTGAGATAGATGTCCAGCTGTCTATTAAGCGTTGAGTATTCGGTGAAGTAGTTGGCTCTGTTTTACTGTGCAACCATCGTAGATGACCCTCGAATGTGTAAGAAATGGGGAGGCTTCAGGTGTCTAACCAATGTTGCCTTCGCAGCAGTGGTTGTGTTACCAAATAACCACGTCAGTGAGGCGAAACCCGGGTAATTTTAGGCAGAAGGGGGCGTTAGTTAAAAAATTTTCGACTCTAGTGGTAAAGATATTTTTTACATGTACCTGTCCAGTATAATTCATTGTACGGTGGTAGCGGTAGCTGAAGTAAGTTTCAGTCGGAAAAAGGTAAGTGGCAGCCAGATTAAAACACGCTATCACTTTATGAAACCTCTGACAGTTCATATAACCTGCATAGAAGAATGTAGACCTCCTCAATGCGGTCAGCGTAACAACGGGAATCAGTGGTCAGAGATTCTGCGACATAGTTCACAATCAATCTCAGTGTCATAAATGTATCGACACATCATCTGTATTTTAACTGTGACAATGAGTTTCGTTACTACTTTTTACCGTTATCTCCCTCTTTTGATGGCTTTATACCACTTTTGTTTACTTTTTCTCTTGTTTCTTTGCTCTTCATTTTGGTGTCTGCTCCCTTGGTGTACTGATATGAGGTATGGCAGTATACTCTGTTACACAGCAATGCCAACTCTCCTGTTGATATTAACTGATTGATATGGGTCAGTATATCAGTCAATAGTGCTCCAATCGATGTTAATTCGTGATGAAAATAAACTTTAAAGCAACTAATTCGTCAAACCACTGAACTAAGTGTGTAACATTGGATACAGATTGTATTTGAGTAAGTCACAGTGCTAACTTACACAAATACAGTCTACATTTAATGTCAACCTTTTATTCAGGGCCAATATTTGCCATATTATACGATGAAATCATCACAGTTTATATAAGTGTATAACAGTTTTACTACATCAGTGTTTGTAATATTCTAGCTACGATACAGTAAAGTAACGCAAACTTGTGACAATTAATACCCATGACAGTTTTAACACTTGCTCAATCAATTTTATCGAAAACAGTTATAAATGCAATGAATATTTCTTTTAAATCACGATGATATTAATTGTTTTGTGCAATTAAAAAGATTACCGATTGTTCGCTCAACAGTATCTGGTTGTGCTCGATGCGATAAAATTCTACCAGATATTATACCAGAGAGTGTTGACAGTCCTCTTTTATATACACCATCGATACGAGAAAATATTCCATTCCCAACACCTTGATTTACAGTGGTTAGTGATGAATGCCGACCCATGAGATGAGCTGTGTAACCTCGCCAAATTGAGACAACTTGAGGATAAGTGAATACAAATTGTGCCCAATCTCGATTAATTTGATCTGCTTGATAGACGTCTTTACCTGATGTGGACTCCAATGCTCCATGAACTTCAAGCTCAGCCACCAAGTCATTCAGTTTAATGATAAGTAATTTCAGAGTTAAATTACCAGGGTTGGCTGTAAGTGCTCGATCAGCTATTGAAAGCTGTTTACGAAGTATAACTAACCAATCACTCTTTGAAAGCTTGAAATCATTACATATCTGTTTCTGGTCAACATTATTCCCTGTTATATGAAGGAAGGAAGCTCCTTTGTCCTGCATATCGATTAGATTTAACCATGAAATTAAATCATTCGGTCGATCATAAACACGACGATTAAGTTCTTCACAAAGACTCAATATTACATTGTTTTTCACTTCAACTGTTGGCTTACATGCAACAGTAATTCGATCTGGTAAAGGAATTAAATCGGATAGCATATCATGAGTTGCTTCGTACGATTCAATAGAAACAGTAGGAGCTTGAATTACTGCTCTACTTGATTTACTAAAGTATCGGAATTTCTTGGTAACTCCAGATTTACGCTTTCTTTCAGTGCCCAAAAGATCACACAGGTACAAATCTTTAAATCCCAATATTTTTGTTTTGTTCTTCATTTTAAATTGTGGTATATGCTTTTCATAAATACATCCATGTCTATAAATCTCTTTATTACATGACCTATCAATTCTGTAGGCAAAATTGATATCTAGGCCGGGAATATCTTCTAGAAATACAGCATTTGGTGTAATTTTCGGTTTCTTTTTCATGAGATCATATCTTTTATGAGAATGTAACCGTTTATTGATAGTTTTTTCAAGTTCTTTTCCATTATTATTCACTCTATCTATAATTGAAATAAACTTTAGGTGTGTATACCTTTAACATCTTACCATGAATATGATAACTCGATGGTTTCTGTTCAGAATAGGTTGAACTTCTTAGCCAAGTTTCATCTAAATTTTATACATAAGCCATATTCAAAAAACTTACTATCAGATAAATCATTTCCTATATGTGATCTATCTTTAGAATCTGATGCACATGGAAACATTTTCACATAGATACGAACGAACTTTAAGTTTCAAATTCCACAGCTGCAGATCCTAACATACTGAAGTAGACATGACATATCAGAAAGGAAACAATAATAATAATAATAATAATAATAATAATAATTATTATTATTATTATTATTATTATTATAACAAGTAAAAGATTTACTTAAAACTGGTACGAATAACCACTGAGCTAAATATGTATAACAAACTAGCTTAGATTAACGAGACAAAAGGGAATCCAACACTTATCATCAGAAAACTTTAACTCATATTGCATACTAACTTTTAAGGTGTTCGAAATTTAGCTCCTCCTTTCAAGTAATGATACTGCATGCTTTCTCTCATAGGCATAAACGTGCAAACCATAAGGGTTTATGCTTAAAATATTAGTTTGATGGGACGGCTAAGGGGTTAACAAAACAAGATGACGAGCCTGAAACCTGCTTGATCTCCTTAACCTTCCTGTTCATGAACAAAAATCATAGGCTTTAAACATTCTGCAATATGTAAACTTTTGGCTAATGAAACATATCAATTTTAAACATTAGAAGGTATAGCAACCAGGGAAAAAGAAAGTTCGCATCGTTACTTTCCTATTCGTTTAGAACACAAACTTGATTGTAAATACGCAATAAGAGATAAGCCATACTAACAGAATACGCAACATCAAGAAGAAAGAAGAACCGGATAAGAGAATGGAAGAAAACAGAAGTAGGATACCGAAGAAGCACTCATAAACTATTATTATTTATTATTATTAGTCCCTTGGGTTCCTCATGGAACATAGAGCTTCACTAGCACGTCTCCATTCCACTCTCTTCTCTGAAATCTTTTGAACCTGGCTCCACGACAGCCCACAAACTCTCATTTCCTCCTCGCACCATCTCCTCCATGTCACCCTCACCACGGACGCCCAACTCGTCGCTTCCCATCGGGGTTCCACTCGAGGACCTGGCTGGCCTGACGCATGATGTCCCAAGTCAGCTTTCTCAGTGTATGCCCAATCCATCTCCACTTCCTTCCACAGCATATTTGTTCAGCGATAGCTTCTTGCTTGGTTCGTTCCCAGAGCTCCTTCTTGCTTATTCTAACTATTCTGGCCATCTGATCTTCAGTAACAAGCCAGCGTAGGTGGCAGTTGTTGATGAATGTCTGTAGTTTATTGGAAATCCCTCGTAACTCGCCAAGTCTCTGAACCATCACACAGAAGCACTGACTTGACTGACGTTGGTGTTGAAAATCCGCATCTTGTTCCACATGCTAAGTAAGGCAGCGCAGAAGATCTCCACACTGGTTTCAGGCTTATCAGCGCCTGTCTTGCTTTTCCGATCCTGGCTGACTTTGATATCCTCGTCTGTGCCCGTGCCTGTGCTGCCTGTAGTTGAAACAGTGCTACTCTGCCTAGATAGGTGAAGGAGGTTACTTCCTTTAAGTTTCTCCCGTTCATGCTGATTCCAGTTTGTTGTTGTTGGTGGTGCGGTATCCTCATCACCTCTGTCTTCTCTATATTCACTTGAAGTCCCGTCTTCCTTCGCTGCCCTGCCTCGCCTCTTCTGACAACTTGTTAGTTTTCGCCTGTACATCTTCAAGTTTGTGTGACATCACACACAAGTCATCGTTGGCGAAATCCAGATCTTCTAGGTTCTTTTCCCAGTCAAGCCAGCGTATCCCCCTCTTCTCACAGCTCCCCACTGTTCCTGCATGATCCAGACGACCACTATCAGGAATATTATGGGGATAGTAGGCAACCTTGTTTCACTCCTTCTTGTCTTCACTTAACTTCAAAAGCATCACTGAGCTTCCCATTGTGAATTACATGGCTGGCATGTGGCATGCGTCTTCATATAGTTGTTGAATGAGGCTGATAAAGGTTTGTGGTATTCCGTAGTATAGTATTGAAGCAGTTTCCAAATTACCTCTCGGTCGACGCTGTCAAAGGCCTTCTCAAAGTCGATAAAGTTGAGGTAGGGTTGAGCTGACTGCCATTCTATACTCTGTTCTATGATGATGTGAAGCATTGCTATTTGGTCCCCACATGATTTGTACTTCCTCAAGCAAGCAAGCCAACGTGTTCCGGTCGTAGTTTTGAATCCGGTGCATCCGTTAGCCTCTCCAGGATGATGCGGCTTAATACTTTGCTTGCTCTGGGTGGACAGGAGAGTGATTCCATGCCAGTTCTTCCGAACACTGAGGTCTCCCTTCTTCGGCAGTTTGACAAGGTAACCCTTCTTCCAATCGCCAGGTACCTTCTCTTCCTTCCACACTCCTGCAATAGTGGTGTAGTGTGAGCATGTCCGCTGTTGTCTCTGCCTCTGTTCTCAGTGCTTCTGGTGGGATCCCATCTCGTCCTGCTGCTTTCCCACATTTCAGTAGCTTTATGGTGTTCATAACTTCCATTTTTGTTGCAGGATTTATGTTCACTTGTAGTTCAGCGGCTGGCTGTAGGTGGTATTTCTGGACGAAGTGCAGGTGGTGGTCGATTCAAGAGCTTCTTGAAGTGGTCGGCCCATTGTTTCCTTTGTTTCTCTTCTTTCCTAATTAAATTTCCGTCATCATCTTTTATTGGTTTCGTCTGCGTTGATCTCTCCCTCCCAGATGGCAACCTGGTTATTTGATACAATGTTGTAAGGTCTCTGTTTCTCCCACCTGCAGCCTGTTCTGCTTCACTTGCCAGTGTTTCGTAGAAGTGTCTTTTGTCTTTCCGTACACTCTTCTTCACTTCTTTGTCCAGTGCAGTGTTTTATACATTGTACTCAGTTCCTCTTCTCGTTGAGCATCCTTGCCTGTACTGGTTTATCTTCTGCTTCACCATCCTCCTCTCCCTCTCTATCAGCTTCCAGGTATCCATTGAGATCCATTCCATGCCTTATCTTCTTTCTTCTTCCTTCCTAATACGGTTGTGCAGGTTTCTTTCCACATAGCTTTCAAAGACTTCCAGTGTTCTTCCACACTGGTTTCTTCACGGATGTTCCTCGATATCTCCCATTTTGTCTTCATGGCTGAAGTGAAGATTTCCTTTGTAGTTTCATCCTTCAGTTTCCGAGTGTTGTACTTGAACTGCGGTCTATCACCACCTTCCTTGAAGGCTTTTAATTCGATTTTCAAGGTTCCTTGCACTAGATAGTGGTCTGAACCTGAAAATCTAATTACCAAAGAAGAGAAACAAAGGAAACAATGGGCCCTATGTTCCACTAGGAACCCAAGGGACAAATAAATAATAAATAATCTCGAATGCCAACCATCGTCGTTATCTTCAAAGTTAACGAAACATAATACCTAAACAACCAAAAACTCTCAGAACTACTGCTTGTATATTCATGCACTAAGCAGTAAAATACACTATTTTGAGAGAGCTGATGATGCTATCTGCTCGACAAAATTTCAGCACATGAAGCGACGTTTGAACCTATCATCTACAAGTTGAAAGTCAACTGTCTAGACTACGAGCAATAGTTCCAACGCAATACTTCCAGTTGCTTGGATCCTTCTCCCGCCATGGTGACTCAGCCGCTTCTCTACTGACCAGTGGTTCTTGACACAGACTTACCATAGGTGATATAAAAACAATCCATTTACAAAGTGAAATCAAGGAATCTTCAGATATTTATGCTGGATTACCTCTTATTGGTGTATCATGAAACGAAGTTACAGAGATCATGTGACTTCGCGATGTTGAACGTTGTCGAACATGACTTAGAAACAGAATCAGGGACGTTAATGCTGGAAAATCTTGTTATTCTTTATGTTTGAACATTAAGAAGAAATGTGATTGAGACTTCTTGAATACACGCCGTTCATATGCTTCTCTTTTTCTGAATACTGTTATTTCCTATTTTTTCCCCTTTAATATATTTATAATGTAATTCTGTGATGAAAGTTTGTTGCAAATTGCATTGTATCGAGTTTATGAAAAATAAATGACTGAATATGTGTGGAAGGTCAATCCAGTAACGTCACAGTTCTCAGTAAAGGGAGTGAAGTAACAAAACAAACATCACAGGGTAGAAAGCCTGTTAGCTGTTTAGCACTTCATTACAGATACAGCATATCAATCTAGAAACTGGCATACTATAGTAAGGGAGATTAGTAAAATCTGCCCTGTCAGAGAGATTAGGCAGGTAAAAATAGTAGCAGTAATAATATCGAAAACAAAAGTGAAAATGTAATAAATCAGAAAATAAATGAAGCTGGAAAACAAAACGATGGCAGAGTATCAATTGCTAACAGTCAAAAAGGAAACATTACATCTGTGTTACTGTGATCAGTATTGAGCTAATTCCCTTAGTTGATGTACCCGGCCATCGAAATTGCGATTAGGAAATTAATTACTACAGTATTATATATAGCAGTGACAGTATGTACATGAAAAAGAAAGACAGTAAGATGAAAGTAATAGAAGCATCAGAAATAGGATATGGAAGAGACAGTAAATAAGAGTGTATGAATTGGAAATAAACTTAAAATTCGATTCACATTGTTATGAGCTGACAGAGGCTTCAGATTTGAACCACTTCCAAGTATTTGAAGTTCGGAAAACTGACTAATACCACTAATAGTTTTGAAAATATGTCAATTGATATCGATTGGTGATTGAAGGAAAAATAGAGTCGAAGTACGATTCAAGTCAGTGACCTCCAGCTTACCAGCCCAGTACTCTACCAGCTGGTCTACGAGACCTAGCATTTAACTAGGGAGGCGGTTGCCAACCACTGGCTGACGAGTTCCAGCTTCGCTCTACTCACCAAGGTTCGAGCAGCCGGGTAATATCACTAGCCCGACAAAATAGGCTAAGCACTACTGCCAGGTTACTTTTAATATTGAGTGGTGATGCCTGTAATATATTTAACATATAATATGTAAATAAATGGCTTTCACCTAAAATATGTAACAAATAATTCCCGAAACATCCTATATTTAGAAGACTATATGCGGTGTGACTATTTAAGTCGATTACGCTTCCTGAGCTGCAAGGAAATGGACAATATGACAGTGA